AGTTGATCCTAAAAGAGGCGTTATCGACTTGTGGATTTTGTTGACAGTTTGAGTTGGGACTTCCTATGTGTCAGCTCCTTCCTCTTGATCTCTTTAGAACAGGTGGGCAACTACAGGCCAAAACTTATACAGCTACAACTCCTAAGACCCTCACCACTGGCTATGCCTGAGTTGTAGGCCACAATATTTGGAGGGCCACAAGTACAACTCTTTTGTGGTGTTCATAATGTAGGGTGTCAGAGACTCACTAATCTTGTGAATACACACCACAATGTCACACACAGTTTGTCTCAGGAACAGGAAGGGGCCCTTGGTGTAAAAAGTTATTTGGGTGACCTTGAGTCAGTTCCACTCTCGTCTTAGGCTGCCTCGCAAGGTTGTGGGAAATGGTACATGCTGCCCTGAGCTGCTCAGAGAATGGATGGATAAATAGATAAATAATAAACCTTTATTACTCCAGCTATTAAAAGGGTTAATAAGGGGATTGACACCCAGTAGGATGGGAAGCACGAAGTTGGGAAGTCTAAGTTGGAACCAGACAGAGGCTTTCCCACCTTTCATTTATCAAATAATTTATGTCAAGGTGAAGATGCTGTGCTTGTCAGACAAATCCGTCTATAAGCATCAAACTATTAGCATGTAAAAATACAAAATCAATTAAAAATACATTTTAAAAAATACTAAAAAAATGCCCTGAGAGATGTGAGGTTTTCTTTGTAGTTCTTAAATGTGTTGATCTCCTCTTAACTGGAAGTCTCTGGACTCTTAAATAAAATTGAATGTGTTGTACCCCCAAAAAGTGGGCTTATTCCTGCCACCCATAACTATTTGGAGGAAGACAAGGTTAAAAACAGGGTTTTGTTGTTTTTTGTTTTAGTTTTGGCCTTATTTACCCCTTGCCTCTATTAGCAGCAGCATTCCCTCTAGTCGGGCTGTTGTGGGTTCATTGTAATATCCTTGGGGCAGACACCTGCCTCCTTGCTGTTGCTTTGCTAAGCCCCACCTAAATTGATGGTGCTGCACTTAAAAACAAATGCTTTCAGCCATTTGCTGCTGCTCCTGCCGCTTGAACCATAATCCTTCCTTAGCACTTGTGATGGTTCAGTTAAGTGCTGAGGAAGGATTCTGCTGAGGCGGACCTGGAGTGTGCAACCCCATCTACCAGTGTACGTGGTGCTTGGCAAAGCAACACCGACGAGGCAAGTCCCTGCCCCGAGGAGGCTACACTCCCCTCGTCCTCCTCAGCATAGTCCCTCCTCAGCATGCACCTAAGGCCGCTTCCACCTGCTTCTGTGTGAGTTGACGCGACTGCGGTGGCGGGGAGAGGGGAGCCCGTCGAGCGCGCCTCCCTCCGACCGCATCCGTCGCCTCTTCCTCTTGCTTCCCTCGAGCCGGCACCCGGCAGACCGAGCGGGTGGCATCGCCGGAGAGAGGAAGCCGAGGAGCCGTCGGGGCGCTGGGCCTTCGCCCCTCGCGCCCGCGGCCTCCTTCGCTGCCGCCTTCCCGCGCTTTTCCGCCGAGGCGGCGACCTGCCCCCTCATGGCGCGGCCGGGCGAGGGCGAGGGCGAGGGCGAGCGCCCGCCTGAGGAGGAGGAGGCGGCGGCGGCGGCGGCGGCGGGCAGGAGCGAGGGCAAGAGAGGGCCGCTGGCGCTGAAGGTGGTGGTCGTGGGCGACGGGGGCTGCGGGAAGACGTCGCTGCTCCTGGTCTACGCCAAGGGCACCTTCCCCGAGGTGAGTGGCGCCCCGCGCCGAAGGGGCCCCGGGGAGAGGCCCTCCGGCCCGCAGGCCGCCCTGCGCCGCGCCCGGCTGCCCGCGCCCCGGCGCGCGAGGGCCCCGCCGCACCTGCCCGGGCTGCGCGCGGCCTCCCGCCCTCGGGCGGCGGCGTTGGCCTGGCGCTTCGAAGCCGCGCTGCCCCGTCCCGTCACAAAAAGGCTCGGGGCGGCCGCGGAACGAGAAGCAAGCGCAGAAGGCCCGCGGCCCCTTTGGCAAACTGGGCCGCCCGGAGGAGGAGGAGGAGGAGGGCGCCTTTGAGCGCACCGGGATGCCAAGCGCATCCCACATGCTGCTTTTGCCCCCTCTCTGTGGGATCTTCTTCCGGAGCACCATCCCTGTTCCACGCGCGTTAGATTGCAACTCCCATCAGCCTCAGCCAGAATGAGCCATGCTCTGGCATGCTGGGAGTGGCCCAGAAGATCCGAAGGGCAACCCATTGTGGGAGGGGGGTGCCTCAGTGCAGCACATGCCCCTCCAGAAGTCAGGCTGCAGCTGCATTTATCCCTCCCCGTTGGCTATTCTGACCAAGGTTGATGGGAGTTGCAGTCAGCAGCAGCTGGAGGGACACAAGGTACTCAGCCCTGCTCTGGAAAGCTCTTGTACAAACCTTCCTCACAACACCACACACACAAAAACCACCCAGGCAGAAAGGAATCAGGGGGGACTGAGCTACAACTCCCATCAGCCTCAACCATATGGCTGATGAGGTGTATCACAGGAGCCCTCAATCGTTAATTGTTGTAAGCCGCCCCGAGGCTTTGGCGAATGGGGCAGCATAAAAATGTTTTAATAAATAAAATAAATAAATAAATAAATAAATAAATAAAAGCCACTGAGAATTACTTGGACATCTAAAAGTTTGATATATTGCCTCACCCTTATTCTTCTCACTCTCTTGTCCTCTAGAAGCTGATTATTAGATTGATTATTAAAACTCAATGATTTTTAAAAAAGATTTATACATCTCTGTTAATATGCCCAAGGTCCCTTGCAAGCAAAACAATATAAAGAACACTAAGCTATTAACTCTAAACTATTAGTGTTTTTAAGATCAGGAGATTAAGATTGACAGAAAATATACCAAATTTTAAGCACTCAGCCTATTCCATTGGCCAAATGCTTGTGGAAAAAGAACAGACTCCTTCTAGCCCAAATTGATTAAATAAGTGCCCGACCATAAAATGTATAGCATTATATGATCTACCTACCATTCTAGACTAGATAAACATCTGCCCACATTCTTAAAATATAAGGGAAATGGCTGTTGGGGGTTAAGCATAAATCTCTCCTTTAATAGAACTTCCAAAGCTCTTTTCTCCATACCTGTGGAATCCAAGAGACTAGAAATGAGCTATATAGAAATGCACAAATTATATGGAATCTTATAGAGTACGTACCCCCCACACTTTCATCAGCCTCTTATAAGCTTTCAAACAGAATCCCTTTGTTGATACTGAAACTTCCTCTACAGCTCAAGAAACCAGACTATAGAATAGATCTTTGTGCAGCTACACAGAACTCCATGCCATCACAGTTCCTCTAGCTCAAAGAGCTTCTTAAAGATACACAGAAACCCATGAAAATGATCCAGCCCCATGAAGATTCTTAAAAAATTTATTTTGATACTGACTTTCGGAAGCCAACCAAGGCAGTTGCACACATTTTGGACACTCTTCAAGGGAGACCCACGTGGAATGCTTTGTAGTAGCCTAGCCATGTTGTAAACAAGGCATGGACAACTCTTGCCAGATAAACTAGTTTGCAGTTGATAAAGTAGACACCGTTGTGCAAACACAAACCTTTCCATTGCTGCCTCTTAAAAATCCGAAGGCAGTGTAGAATCTAGGAGCATTCTCAAGCTATGCACCAAATCTTTTAGGCAGAAGGCAACCCCATATAAAACAGGTTGAATCCCACACCTCAGGGCAAGTGTTCTGCTGACCAACAGCATCTCTTTTCTGGGCTTTATCTCAGTTTGTTCTCTCTCTTCAGTCCATTAGGAAACTTAAGCAGTGTTCAGTGGTGTCACCTGCCTCCTTGAAATCAGGTAGCAAAGATTTCACTGGCACAAAAGCTGTACAGATATAGCACAGAAACATTCCTCATATAATCTTTAAATGTAAATCCAGTGTACAGCCCAGGTAACAGGCTTCCCACTCTCACTGAGGCTCTTGAGTACGCTCTTTGTAGAAAACCTTTAGATCGTAGAAAACCTTTAGCCCTTCTGTAACACCACATTCAACCATATATGCTCATGTATGGACATAAAAGCTGTAGAAGAGACCCTGCACTGTCACCAGTTTCATGGAGCATCTCAAAATCCACTCCTTTCACCCATAAGAATATTATTTCTAAAAACTGGCCAGAGTTTATACTTTTCCATCCCTTTTCACAGTACTGTTAAGGGGAGTTGTGCACTTTGAGTGAATAGCTTGCAGGGCAGATGCCAGAAGTCCGCTGAAGTACTTTCATGAGATTGTTCATGACATGGCCCGTCAGGTCCATCTGTGCATTTTTACTTCCCTTATCTGTTGAACTGGTTAATTTGATACGGGGAACTACTCAAACAACATGGCAGGAGAGCTCGTGTCAGTCAAGTGCGGTTCTAGTAGGAGCGGTTTTAACTGGGCAACAGACTTTTTACCGGTGCTTGCTGTAAGGCAACAGCTCAACTCATATCTAAACCACACGATGGCAGGATGTGCTGATGGTCTTCCTGCCACAGCTTTAGCTATTAGCACATTTGAGAGTTGCGCACTTACAGTGTGTCACAGACATTTTGAGATGACACAGAAATGGTTCCCAGCACTGCCTCAGCTTGAGGACAGAATAGCCCTGGTTGCAAACTCCAAAAACTTGTTTCGCAATAAAGATGGCACGATTGCATCATTTGTTGGGCAGGAGGTGGGGTGGTGGAGTTCAAGACCTGTTTTTTTATGTCCACTACCAGTGAGACATCTAGATGAAAACACTGAGATACAAAATAGAGCCCACTGGCAATTGTTAAAACATATGATCTGGCCAGGGCAACTTCTTCTTCCTTCTCTTTCTCCTCCTATATTTTTATTTTATACTGATAATTTTAATTTTATTTTTGTAAATCAATGTCTTTTTTGTATTTTTATATTTAATGGTAATTTATTATGTACTATTGTATTTCAATGTATTTTATCATGTTGTAAGCCGCCCTTGCCGAAACCTCGGGGCGGCTTAGAAATGCTATAATAATAATAATAATAATAATAATAATAATAATAACAACAACAACAACACAAGTCGCAATGTGCATTTCACACAATACAAGTGAAGGCTGCACTCCTGGGCACGTGTAGCCCTAAAGGTCCACTGAATCGGACACGGTCTGCCTATAATGCATGGGGAAATATGGCTGAGAGGACGCTGGGGCACTCCTGCCCTGCCGCTGGGGCAGCCGGTTGGCCGCTGCGTGGACCCTCGGCCTCATCCATCCATCGTGGTTCCTCTTATGCAAGAAAAGGCAACCAGTTACACAACAGCACCATCCTATGCACAGCTATTCAGAAGCCAGTCCCACTGACTTCAGTGGGCTCACCCCAGGTACCTCCAGCCTACAAAGTGCATTTTTACAGTCAGATTAGCATCCTAGGTCAGCACGTCTGCCTCGCTTCATTGCAAATGGAAAATGTTGACTTGGGAATGTTTCCACAAAGCCCATGGGCTGAGAAGACCGGTTAGACACTTAGGAGGCGGGGGGCCCGCGTGTGTGGAAGGAAGGGGCATGCTGGGGTTCCACTGGCGTTTAAAGCATCTTGCTCAAACGTTAAACTGGCAGCGGCAGTGATGTGCAACATCACCGTATGTACTAAGAGCATTCTCTCCTCCTTTCCTAATAGCAATATGCTCCTTCAGTATTTGAAAAATACTCCACCAGCGTCCTTGTTGGCAAAAAAGAAGTCACCCTACATTTATATGACACTGCAGGTAAGAAAGAAAAAATCCTTGCTTATTTCAATTGTTTAAAAAGGTATGTATCGGCAACATTAAAGTTTGTTGCAGTGGAGAAAGAGTTTATAAGATTTCTGGTGAAAGCTGGTGTATTGTTTTGATGTGGCACTTTGCATAATATTCAGAGGTTTCAAAAAAGTTAACAGAAGGCAGGATGTAACATTCATGCTACTTACAATGTCTTGTTTCACGCAGAGGCATTTGGGTGACCCCTCAGAAGTTTATCAGAATCCCCTTAACAAGAGGATTAGTAAGAGAGAATGAATTTTCCACCAAAGATAACTTGCTTTTCAGCACCAGACTGTAGGTCATATTCCCAGCCCCTGTCATATTTAGAAGTAGACACTACCTGAGGCCTTCTTCTGGTCAAGAGAGAGAGAGTGAGTAGCTAAGAAGAGAGACAAACAGCCATTTCAGTGGTGGAACTCCATCTGTGGAATACCCTTCCCAGAGTGGCTCACCTCATACCAAAGTTACGGTCTTTTGGCACCAAGTGAAGGTCTTTGTCTTCTCCCAGGCATTTTAAGAACTTCCTTTAGATCACTTCAGTTTTTATTGGCACTGTTTTTACATGCTGAAGTATGTTTACTCTGCTGCTGGATTAATCCTTTTGGTGATACACTGTTTTTATTCACTTTTTATTCTATGTTTTGCTTTTAATGGCAGCCAGTGTAGTGAAAATGTTGGACCAAGGACCTGGGTGACCTGGGTTTCAGTCCCCGCTTGGCAGTGAATTTGACTTTGGGCCAGGCACTCACTCCCCGCTTGGTCTAGTTCACATGGGTGTTGCTACTATGAGGATTAAATGAAGCTATAGAAGCCATCTTGGGTTCCTCCCAAAAGGGGGAAAAAGTGGGATATGAATACAATGTAATCATAATGTTTTGTACACCACCCAGAGAACTTAGGTTGGTGGGCAGTTGAAAAGTATCAAAATATTTCTGTGGGGCATCATTAAGGCTCCACAATGGACAATTAAGCCAATCGACTTCTGAAAACATGCCCAGAATTCTCTGCAGCATGGTAGCATTCCCAGGCAGTTGTGTGCCTGTTTTGTGGTAGAACCATGATAGAAAGTGTTGCCTAATATTTAGTAAGCCTGGAGGAATGTTGTTCATGGGGTCGTGACGGGTCAGGCATGACTTCGCGACTAAACAAAGAAAAAAACAAGTATTTAGTAAATCGTTGGTTTACAAAGACAAGAATAAAATCAGTGGACATGGGCAGTCTTTTCATACCACGTTCCCAATATAACACGGGATGTTCCTGCCCTGCGAATGCCTCAAGACGCATCATAGTGAGCTCTTAGGTCCACTCTGTGGAGCCCTTTACCCTCCCCACCTCCAAAGCCTTTGCTTCTGGTCACAAATGTGGTGAAATAGGCGAGAGCCTAAATTACTTCAACTTTCCTCAGCAACTAGGAATCAAGTTCTCCACTTAACATGTAATTACAGTAAGGAAACAATTTCTGAAGGAAACAATTTCATTTGCTTTTATTCTAGAGGAGGATTTCCTTTTATTTGTGCCAGTTATCTCAAACTTACATCGGCCATAAGACAGTGTAGGAATCATGGGTCCTGTCCCACTCCCCAGCCCCAGGAACCCTGAAACTGGAAGTAGCTGAAAAAATCTCATAAATAGATAGGTAACACCCACCAATCCCCTCAAAGTGAAGTTATACTTAAGAGGCAGTCATAGCACCCTGAATTGTCTTAAGCTTGCAGGGACCACTGATTGCTAATATTCAGGTTAGGGGAAGCCACAGGGAAGAATGAATAATGGCTTCCCTTTCCTGTTTTAGGGAATTTTCACTGTCACTCAAAGCTGCTGGACAGAGACCAAGTTCAAATAAGAGATTTCTCTCCCCACTCCCCATTACAGGGCAGGAGGATTATGATCGCTTACGGCCGTTGTCATACCAGAACACCAACGTGGTTCTCATTTGCTATGATGTCATGAACCCTACCAGCTTTGATAATGTATTAATTAAGGTAAGAGGCCTTTACTGAAGTAAGGAAAAAGACAGTTAAGCAAAAGACAAATCTGAAATCGGCCATTTTGTTCCTTTCCCGTCACCAAGTTTAGGGAAGCCTTTGCAGAAGCTGCCTTTGTTCAGTTATGGTTTCTTGTAGTTCAGCATCAAGAACATCCCCATCATTATTTACTGCTTTTGTTTGTCACATCTAGTGGTGTTTAAACAGTTTGATCTTTCTCCCTCTGCTAGTGGTCTCATGAGGTGAATCATTTCTGCCGTGGAATCCCCATCGTTCTTGTGGGCTGCAAAACAGACCTCCGGAAGGACAAAGAACAACTACGTAAACTCCGCTCAACTCAGCAGGAGCCAATTACGTACAGCCAGGTAAATATGCAGAGCAAATCTCAGCACAACCCTTGCTGTGATTACTGAGAAACAAGTTGTGTGGAGTTTAGTGTGCTGAAGATGCAACCTTCCTCCAGATAGTAATGGGCATTGCTTTTTCCTCCTCCACCCCCCATTTTCATTGTCATATCTTTTAAGAACGTGAACATAAAAAAAGTTTTACTACTGATCTTTGTACACTGTACTGTGAGCCCCATCACCCAGAAATCAAGATAAAAATACTTTAAATGTAATAAATGAAGTACTAAGCTCTACCAGTAGGCAGAGATACTCAAAACAGGCACACAAAGACTATGCACAAACACACATGTAAAACACATAATGTAAAACTCAGTAGTTCAATCATGAACACCTGTTGGTTTTACCTTGCTGTTTGTCTTTGGCCTGACACCATCCTGTAAGCTGTACCTTGGTGTTCTCCTCCAGGGCGAAGAAGCTTGTCGCCAGATGAAAGCAGATGCTTACCTGGAGTGTTCTGCCAAGTTTCGTGAAAACATTGAGGCAGTTTTTAAAGAAACAGCTACCATTGCGCTGAATGCTATGAAAAAGGCGAAACGTCAGGCAAAATCAAAGCCGTGCACCATATTATGATAACCTGATTCTGTGGACTACAGAAAGTATCTGCTTGTTTTTCTTCAGTGGTAAGGAAGGTCTTCATCATTTTTTTAAAAGACCTTTTCTATTGAATTTTAACAGGAAAACTCAACTTTTTGTACAGTAATTTCTGCTTTTGTTAACCCCCTCATCTGAAGGTTTAAATGTTTAGCTACAGAATGAGCCCTCTTCTTTCTAGCTGTAAGCAGAAGGTCTTCTACTTGCACTTCTGGGAGGGATGGGAATTTATTACTGCAAGTAAGGTAAGGTCTGCAGGACCAGAGCTTTGCCATTTTAAAATACTTCTTTCTTTGCTTGTATTATCCTTTAAAACTTGAAATCTTCTGTGGTCTTTCAAGTGCCCGCAGTATTTGCACATTAAAAATAGCTTACTGCCCTTTCCTATATGGTAAAGTTAATGGCACAGTATTCTTTCAAAGAAGTATAGCCATACAAGTGACATATTGAAAGTCCATCAAGGGAAAGAAGATTCCAAGAATCAAAGGATGTGTACGGTTGCATACCTGATACATATTAGTTCCAGTGAAAGTTTTAAGATGCTGTAACATTATTAATGCTAAGCAAGTGTGGACAGGAAACCTCAGGGAGCCCCTTTCATCCACCCAACATGACCCATAAATGTAGATTTTTAAAAAAAGAAGTTGGATATTTCATCGTATACTGAATAACTACCTCAAATGATGCCCTTATTAATGCAGCTTTGGGTTAATTACAAAGCTGTTTGTATTTGAAAACTGGATTCTTCCATCCACCTCCCTTTTGCTTTCATATTTAAAAGCTGGACTTAACTGGATTTTAAAATAGAATTTTTATGTAAAGCAACAATTGAAAAGGGGTACCAAATAATTGAATTAGTCTGAAGGTGGGAATAAGTCTCTTTTGCATTTACAATTGTTGTGGAAATCAAAGAAAAGAATAAAACTGTAATTGGTGTATCACTTGGAACTCCAGATAAGACTATTGTGCAAACTGATTAGATGGGACAAAGTCAACCTGAATTTATACCATGTACATGAAAGAGTGCATGCAAAGAATTCAATCAGTATAATTTAGTTTTATATAGCAAGGGAAAATTTAGCCTTGCTCCAAGGGAATGATAAACAAACAAAAGAATTTGATTTTTGGGCAGAGTATAAAAGAGAAGCCTCTAAGCAAACTCCATAGCACCAACATTTTTCCATTAAGGGAGTTTTACCTCTGATTCTGGTTCCACCTGCCATTTCCAGAACACCCACTCCGAAATTAAACCCATCTTGTTTGGCCATCACATCACTACACTGCTATTACCCACAGAAACCACAAGTCTCCTCCTCTAGATTACCAATTCAGAGTTGGCAAAGGACCAGAAGGACTGGAAGAGACGGGGCACTGCCTTTCACCACTTCACAGCAGGAATCCACCCAGCCCAGCTTTACTATCCTGACTAGCATCAGCTGCCCAGAATTTCAGACTGGGTTTTTTTCCCCGCAACTCCGCCAGGGATCCAGAGAATGAACCCAGAACATTTTACACAGTCCTTTCCCAAGTGAGACGCCTAATCCCTCCATCCAGCTTTAAAGCAGGGCTCCCTATATGGTAAGGATTAGGCCATTCAAAGCCAGCTACTAAAAGGTTGCTATCTGGTGACCACCTTCCCCCTCCTAGTACTGTGGTGTGAGACGTGCAGGCAGGCAAAAGCCTCTGTATGTTGCAGCACTTTATCTAAAAGGGCAAATATCTATTATATTTTTGTTGTTAATGTCTATAAAACCGATCTGAGGGAATATGGGAAGGAGCAAAGTGAGGCACAGTATTTCAGTAAGTGAGCAAAAGCCAAGCAACAGAGTGTCCTTCCCAGAAGTAGCGTTTTGTCTCCCCTTCTGCCTGTTTGCAGAGCAAGCCATGCACTTCTGCATTGCACCAAGCTGCCAAAGCCCTGCATCCGACCCGTATATTGCCCTAAAATCTGCCTTTTAAGATGCGTTTAAAAGGGATGTATCTAATTCTCGGGGGAATCTATTAACTCCTCTTCAGCTAAGACAATTCTTTATTGATGATCCCTCCCAAGGTTCAACAGAGTCAAACCCTGAAACTCAGTGAAATGTTCACTGGACCTTATTGCCAACAAAATGAAAGACAGATGGTAATAACTTCCGCTGGATTTGATGAGGTTTTCTCATTGGCTTTCCCCATCCTCGTAAGCTAGTTTAGTGGGAACAGACTGCAGTGAAGAGGCAAAGCCCCGCTTCCCTTCCTCCCATATAAACAAACTCGGCAAGTGCCCCACTGAAAATGCTTTCAATTGAGTACAAGTGGAGAACAGTCTTTGGGGCTCCACCTCTAGGCACTGTTCCGAAATGGACCCTATTAGTTTCCAAGGTAAGTCTGAAGAGGAGCAGAGCTCAGTAAACAGCAGCAGGCGCGACAGCTGGCAGCAGCCAGAGAGGTTCCAGTACAGGGAAATTTGGGAGACAGCTTTTAAAGATTGCCTTATTCCAGAATAACAACACGTCCTTGTTCTCCTGAAAATCCATCTTTTTCCTAGAAGTAACCAACCTCATGGCTGCATCCTGGAAAAAGCCAGAGGGATTTTATTTGATTAAAAATAGACAATTAAGCTATCAGCTGGGAGACAGCAGCACTTGCAGAATAAGTCAGTTGAGGAAGACGTGTAGCAGGGTGCAGGTGGGATTTCCTCTGCGGTTGCAGGGCCAGCGGTGGCTCTGGAGGGCTGTCTGGGATGGGTGTCTAATCACAGCAGAGCGGGGGACAATAGGAAACCAGACCCCCCAGGCTTTGGCGTCCATAAGCAGAGCCTTCTTTCTCACAGCTTTTTCATTTTATTCTTCTGAAATTTTGTGTGCACAACTTTCAGGGTCGTGAGGAAATTCCCAAGAAAGAGCAGCAGAAATGTGAGTGCAAGCACAAAAACCTGGAGAGGGTGCAGGGAGGAAACAACAATACATAAATACCAGACACAGCTTAGATGACCGTGTGTTTCAGCTAACAGTGTGTGTGTACGGATGGGGGGAACTATGCTAAGGCAGGGTTTAGCCCAATGGCGCTAGATGGCTTGCTTAACGAGAACACGGCCAGCAGCTACAATGCTGAGGTAAGCATATTAAACTTAGTTGCCAGTTAAGCCACTAGTTGTTCATTGCTGTAATGCTAGATGTTTTTATCTTTGTTTTGTCTTCTCTATTGTAAGTTTCCTTAGGTATAGCATTAATTTCAAAATTGATAAGGACATTAGTACTAAATGTATTGGGTATTTTGAAAGACACACAGAGGAAGCTACTAGTCCTGACGGTTCTCTGCTGCCTCTAGTAGGCAAGGCAGTACATCTGTGCCCCCCAGTTGCTGGGAAATATGGGCAGGAGGTGCTGTTGCACCCAATCCGGTGCCCTTCAGACATTTTGACTGAAACTCTGACCAGCCCTAACCAGAAGTGCCAAGGGTCAAGAATGCTGGGCATTGTAGTCCAGAGCATCTGAAAGGCACCTGATTCAGAATGGCTGGGTGACCATAATCAGCAAACCATCAGAAGCCTCAGATGGGCAAATCCACGTTTACCATGCCTTTTTGCCACTTTTGGTAATACAAGATATTCTTCCATTATAAAATGCAGACAGCCATTTCCTCACTTTCATTTCTGTTACCTTATCCTAGCGACCTAAGGGGATTCATGAACTTCAAAGAAGATAAGGCTGTTAAAATGGATGTTACCGATGATGCTTTTATTTATTTATTTAGGATATTTCTAGGGCGTCTGTCACTTTTGTCTCTTGACGGCTTAAATACCATCCAAGATCAGAGGTGGCATTCTCCATGCCAGCTGCCCGGGAATGTGAGCAGAAACTGCTCCCCTGTCCTGCTTATGGGCTTTGGAGAAGCATCTGTTCCACCGCTGTGAGAACAGTCTGCTGGCTGAGAGAGGCCTTTGGTCTGATGCAGCCAGAATCTCCTTATGCTCTGACATCAGGCATGTGCAATGTCTCCTACAGAGATCAGACTTCCCCCAGTCACTGAGATAAAGATGGGCACCGCAGAAAAAAAGAACAACTTACTTGCCATTCCTTACAGTTTTTATGTCTTGACAGTTCAAAAAGCGTGATCGCATTATACAGCTGCCAGAACTTAAGGGGAAGGTGGGAGAGGAGAAAGAATTGGGAAATAGCTCTTTACTCATGTAGATACAAGCAGTAGTTTTAATGAAGAACTAGAAGCATTATTTTACACATGCAGTAAAAATCCATGCAGGGAAGCCACACAATGACAGAAGCCGACAAAGAAGACAGAAGTGGCCGCCTGGGTCCTCAGTCCAGCCAGACCTCAAGGGTTCCTCTGTCCTTGTCCTCTTTTCTCTTGAACCTTCTCCTAAGTATGAAATGTCTCCCCTTTGGTTTAATTACTAGCAGTAAGAACTTTAAACTAAAATAAGGTGGTATTTTTATCTGAACAAAATCAGATCCAAGAGCTTCTCTGAAAGCTAGGCTGAAAGAGGCTTAGCCACTCCCGGGGCTAAGAATGCTTGGTTAGATGGACAAATGTCCATCACCACAAGAGGGCTGTGCTTGCAACAGAGTGCGTCAGTCTCGTGCTAATTCTGGGCCGTGAAGCCATCCCAAAAACCCTTGCCTAAATTTTTCACAACAAGCAGCGCTATCAGTGTCTCTGAGTTTTCCACATCTGACAATGACCTTGTGAACAAGAGAGACGCCATCCAACTTACATGCCCAAAAAACAGAAAGGGAAGCAGGAAGGTCAGCCCTCGCCACATCCAAGACTGAAATCCCTCTAAGGAAAGATTGAAATACCTAGCTAAGTCATGCAGAACACACAAAAGTCTCTATGCTTAAATACCTACCCATTTCTACACATAACTACAACATCTTATGTGTTTTTGAGAAATCTGAGTTCTGGTCCCCACTCAGCCGTGAAACTGGGTGACTTTGGGCCAGTTGTTGATTCTCAGCCTAAACTACCTTAGAGGAATTTTGTGAGGATTAAAACACACAGATCACCTGTACAGAGCTTTCAAAAAAGACATTTAAGCAGAAAAGCTGATTTTTTTTCCTAACTGTATAGAGGCAGGGGAAGAAATCCACTTGATTTGTTGAAAAATTCCAGTATAAACCCTCTTCACAGTTTTCTCTATAGAAACAAATTGAAAATTGCTACCAAGGCAAAAATAGTAGCATTGAGTTGATCAAGCCATTTCAAAAGTATCTGTTCCATCAATAATTTGAGCAAATAATATTTCTGGTTACTGGCAATACACTAACACAGGCTAACATCAGTTTGTACATGCTTTTTGTATAAATAAAATACAATTTAAAACACACGCACAAGACAACTCACCCACTGTGAGATCTAACTGGTTTCTCTCCCCTAAGGCACGAAGTCTGTAAAGGCAGCCACTTTGATAGTAATATTGTAGAAACTGAACACAACCTAGAAGAAGCCGGGAGGTTACTTTATGTTACCTGGACTGAGACTGTCTGAAAAGTATGACCTGCTTTGACAGTACAATCCATGCTGGCTGGGTGTTGGACCTTTTCCTGTTTAAACATGCAAAGTGCTGTGTCCTTAAACGCTTTTGTCCCACCCTGTCCTGATTTGTCATATCATAGCAGGAGAGGGCAACCCACAGGCTGCATATGGCTCAAACTTCCCCTGCCCAAGCTGGGAGGAAACAGCCCACCTGATGCTTAGAGTGGGGGGTCGGGGAGACAGGGAGAGAGAAGTTTTTGCCAGAACCAGGCAGGAGAGTGAGAAGTGTTGTCTTGTCTTCCTCAACAAGCCTCACAAAGACACGGATGAGATGTTCCTCTGCACTGTTGGGAGCAGAGAAGTTAAGTGGCAGTCATGGGGCAGGGGAGGGCAAGAACTCCGCCACAGCCATGTGATGCGGCCTGCAGCAGAATCCAGCCTGGGCAGTGGGTGGGGGAGTTTACCCACCCTTGCTCTATGCAGTTTAGAAAAAATTAGCACCCCAACATTATACTGTGTGCCTCTGATCAGGAATTTATTTGGTGATAAATCATCTTTTCTTTGTATTTAATGTGAATTAGACCTGAAACCTTCCATTGGCTTACCAGGCCAGTTAAATTCCTGAAGCTTCATGTCTCTTTCTCAAGACATTCAAACATGCTTAACAGAGCCTTCCCCAATTACATTAAAATGCACATTTTACTTGAGCACAAACTTGCTGTACAGCTCACAAAAGATTCAGTCACCTGTGCCACAGGCAGAAACTTCCATGTTCTAGTATTAAATATGAAAATATACTTACTTTGAAAAATAGAAAATGCTAGAAACTGGTTGCGGAACATTTGGTAAATGACACCATCTGGCCTGTGAGAAGCGGGGGAAGGAGGGGGCAAAAGAGTGAAGCGAAAACATAGTGAGGTTTTAACATATGTACACAAGTCAATCTAATACTGCTTGGAAATTACAAAAATAATCCCCAAAACCTAGTAGAGTTTTTAAGCCTAACACGCGATAAAGTTTCTAAAATGTGCTATCGGTTGTACAGAAACAGCCTGTAGTGCTCTCTGGCCTGCATCCATTCATGGATTCATTCTCTAAACTGGTTCAGAACACTTCCCAAAATCACAAAGCACCAACATAAGAGGGACTTCGAGAAATCGCCTTTGAATGCATGCCTCTCCCGGTAAGAAAGGGCCCCTGCTTGGGAACACAGCAGATCAAGAAGATGCTTGCGTGATCTCATCTTCAACCCCATGACACCACCACTTGCTTTAAATGGGAAGGGGACCAAAAAGTGATTCCCTCTCCCTGAAATGAAATGGTCCAGGGAAGGCTGTTCTATGTTCACAAGCTTTTTAAAACTTTTTAAAAAAATGGTCCAGGGAAGGCTGTTCACGAGTTTTTTAAAAATCAAAATAGAGACACCCATTTCTCCCCTACCATTTTTCATGATACACAGATAACTACATTGACAATATTGGTCATCCTAGAGTTTAAATATTTCCACTGCTGTGTTTAAGATGCAAAAAAGGTAAAGAGCTTACCATGTTAACATCACACCAGACAAGAATGTTGAGACATAATGATGAGACACCCACCAGCCTTTAATTCTGAGTAGAAAGAAGGCAGGTTTAGGGCCATAATGCAAAGAGAAAGCAGAAACCATCCACAACTGCACAGCCAAAAAGGGCCTGTGGCCAGGTCACAGTCCACTGCCAATTATACCGACACAGTACCTGTGTTAGCATACAAAATGGTTGCCTTCACGTGCTTCTATGTAAGGCATAACCTCAGACATGTTCTGAACACCTAAACCTAACACATCAAAAGCTCTTGGAAGTACAAAGTCTTTTTTAAAGCAAGTGTGTAATTATCCTCCCACCACCCCAGTCAAGGGCACCACTCCCTAGCTGGCCAAGTGGCAGGGGAGGGGCAGTCTGCACGTGAGCATCCACAAGTATTCCCAAAGAGAAGATGCACAGAGGTTTGCTACTGCCTGGGGGTGGGGGTTGCTGTCCAAGAGAGCAGCAGATGAGGGGCGACAGCGATAAACAGCGCTGGTCCCAGCACCAAGGCCAACATTATTTTATTATTATTATTATTATTATTATTATTATTATTATTATTATTATTATTATTATAACATTTCTATGCCGCCCCTTGCAGATAGTCCATAGTATGTCGCCAATAAGAGCAATCGTATGCTCTTATTGTTCAAAGCATTTTGTAGCCAAGGACTAGTTGGCCAGGTATAAGGCAACAAGCTTCCGTTGTATTACTTCAGAAATACATTATCCTTTTCTACAACGAAATGCAACTTATTCTCAAATAAATGTGTTTAACAGGAGGCAGCAAAAGCAAACTATATCATGATGGGATTATCATTTGAGTTTCACTGCCAAGGGGTATTTATTTTTAAAATCAGGTTGGCAAACAGTTCCCTCAACCCAAACGTACTGGGGATGTAGAAGCTGTTAGAAAGCATGGAATGATGGGGGAGAAAAGATCGTTGTATGCTTCACAAGAAAAGGAATATATGTCGGGACAGGGGAGTGCCCTGATGGGCCATGAAGGCAGGGGTGCTAAATTAGCTGGCTGCATTGTGTAATGCAGTCTTGAACTCTGAGCTCAGAAACCTGTGTTCACCAATGCGCTGAAGAGAGAACCAAGATTTTCACATATGATGGCATGATACCCAGTTCTCATGCTAGCCGGAAAATTTATCTCATGAAAGGCATATCTGGAGGACTAGTACCTTGATCCATTGCTGATGAGGATGCTTTCTCTTATTGTCAGCGTGCAGTAATACCAAACTAAGAGGAAGTTGAACACTTCATCAGTCACCCTGCAGGAGGAAACATGGTAGATTTTTCCCCCCCGACAACACGATTTTATATATTTAATCAAGTTCATGTATTTTAAGGCTCTTGTTTCCCAAGCCCCGCTGCATCATACACACACACACACACTATTTTATTTCCACTCCTTGTTAGCACTAATGCTTTGCTTGTGCTTCATTGGCCAAGAACATCTTCAGATATCTTTCTTGAACATCAGGCTTCTGCCACCCAACCGCAAGACTGTCATGGCATGTCCTGTACTGAGTGAAGCAAATTTGCAAATCAAGCAAGTTCCTTTGACAGGAGAGGCCTGTCTGCCATGATCCAATTCACAGAGGCAACTTATGATTAATACAGTCAAAGGAGCCCATCAGAGCTAGACAAATCAACTGGAAAAGCCATGCTGACTGCAGTGTGCCCCAAAGCGCAGGAAAGCATTAAACCAGGACAAGATCATTCCAGATGACAGGTAACCGCAAACTTTGACAACATTGGACAGGCATTTCCAGACTGCTCTCAGGGAACACCATAGGGATCCTAAGTTCATCAGGATTTCTCAAGGAGAAAAGCAGGACCATTGGGACATTTTTTTCAGAGACGATCATCAATCCTGAAGCCACAGGAAGAATACTGGAAACTGCTGCCTACCAGCTTGCTATTTGTCCACCTGGCTCGGGCATGCTGGGAACTGTAGTCTGATACATCTAGAAGGCAGCAGGGGAAGGCTTTCTATGTGGCTGTCAGTAACTCTCCCTTTTAACTGGAGACATGATGAATTAACCTATGACTGCAAAGAATCTATCCGAACATCAAGCCACAGCTCTTCTCAAGTTTTAGGTGGGATGCACATCTTGTAAGTCTAATCGAGGTTCTCACTCTAATCCAGGGAAAAGCACTAGATAGATATGGATCGACTGCTAGATCTTTGGGTGATCTGCAGTAGATTGGTAAGAATTTCTGGCTACCAGTTCTTAAACAGTGGCAACATGACACTCCCCTGAACTAAAATTGGGCTGCTGAAATGAAGAACGCTTTGGATCACCAGGTAGGGACCTCAGTGCAAAAGGATTTTAAGCTCCGTTTACGTTCTGGTGCCCAAAACCTATCACTAGGCTCAGAATATGCTGCTCTGTTATTTCACCTGGCCCTAATTGGTGAATCTGTGGGGTTGCGTGTAATACAATATGGACCTAACAAGCATGAACCACTGTCCAGTTTTTGCCCTGGAATAGGGGGCACAGCACCCGCCTTCATCCTGAAGAATGAATTAATTCAGCGAAGCTCTTAGTGCAGAAGCTTGAGTTTTTGGAGATGCTTTCTAATGCATGACAGGACAAGACAAAAAATGAAATTGGCCAAAAAAAAAAAAAAAAAAGCATCCTTTTGCTTAAATCTTTTCCTTCTAGTAACAAATCTTAGGAACGGCATTTATAAATGAGGAAAACATGCACCAAAGCCAAGAGGCCACAAAACGATCTGTGATTGGGGAAAAGAGATTGGAGCTAAGAGGACGAGATGTGGCCAGCTAAGGAACCTCAGAGGACTGGACTGGAAATCCTGAAGGCCACATTCGGTCTGCGGGTATGAGGTTCAACACCCCTGTCCTAGAACATACCCCCAGAACCCCTCTCACCAATGCTGCCATGCTCGTCCAATAGGAGCACAGCGTGCAGAGGAAAACTCAAGGCGATCTTTACTTTGAGATACAAGCAATGGCAGCTCCAAACAAATCTCGTTTAGTTCTCACCAACTGCACCTGCAATCCCTTTGCTCACTGAAGAATCTGGCAGATTTGCACAAAAAGGTGGTCCAAATCCACAGTTAGGGTCAAATTTAAAGCCGTCCCTCCCACCCAGCAAACAGAGCTGCAGCATTACCGGTAATGAAGGATGAAGCGGCAAGTGATCGCTCCAAGTAATAAGATTATAGTCAAGTAGAGTTTGAATTTTTCATATTCATCTTTGTAGGCAAACCTGGAATAAAAGGACAAAGTCAAGCTGGGACTTGGGAGACCTACTCTGGGCTTCCCTGTCAACCTCGTCCCCACCCTGAAACCCAGTTTCATAAGTGCCCAGATGGAAAAACCACAATCTACTTTTCAGGGCAAAGGAAGACAATTTGCCTAAAGAATCAAGCAAACAGCAGGCTGACATGAACAAGGAACATAAACCCAGAAGTGGATAGGCATGTGTAAAAATTCATTTCCATTTGTTGTGCATGAGGATTTACCTAGTTTTTACTTCCCAGTCTGAGCATGGCCTTGCAACGCAATCTACAGCCAAGGTCCACACCTTTCCAAGTTCGCAACATGACCAAGAAAAGCATTCAACAGCATGTGCTTATTTCAAAAATGCACAAATATGTTTTGATTCATGGGAGGATTATGCATACATTTCAGAGATGGTTTGATTTGAAAAAATATGAAAAGTGCTTTCAGAATTTGCATGGGAGAAGAAAAAAATAATTAATCTGATCCAGGTTCAAGTCAGAACAAGCGTCAAGACAGAATTTGGAGAATTTAGGGAGCTCAAGTTTTGTTGATTTGCACTTCCCTAGAACTGGAGGTGAAGAGGGAAGGCCAAGGGCTTCCCTCTTTAGGCTACCAAGACTGGCCTTCTTGTTTGCGATTCAGAAGAAATGGGCTGAGTTGACCCTGCTTCCTGTCCTGCCAGTTTCCTTCTCCATCTCCAGCCTCAACCTGTAGAACTGGAGTGTGCAGAAGGTAGCTCTGCTCGGGATTCCTGGTGTCGCATTATTTAGCAATCAGAGGAAAGGGACATTACCTGTAATGAAGGAAGGACTGAGAGCTCAGTTTGATGTTGGTGATTCAACTGTGGGTCCTGGCCCCTGCTAGGCCATGAAGCTCACTGAATGAGTCCAGGCCCGTGACGGACTCTCCACCTAACCAAACTCACCAGGGCATTTCAAGGACAAAATGGAGGACTATTATCTATGCCATCTGGGGCTCCTCAGGGAAAAGGCAGAATGAACAGGTAAGAAATAAATGTTAAAAATAGCACCAATTCATCAGCTCCTAGGCTCGGAATCCTTTAATTCTAAACAGCACGTTGTTTGCACCAAGCTCTTGCTGTTTAGTAAAAACCATTTAAAAAAAGAGGTAGGCACCACATGCCTGACGTCCACCCACTGCTAGAGGAGATGGCAAGAACAGGAAAAACTTACTTGGCCTGGTTACTCAGAAGGGTTACATTCACATTTCCCAGCACCAGATTCAAGTACAAACTGCAAGGTAAAAGGCAAGCAACATTAGAGCAGCAGGTGGATTTTTTCTGAGTTTTCTGTGTAAGGGAGAGGAGAGGAGACTATCAATGGTTACTGGTCCCCTGACAGCAGCCATTGATCAATGGTTCAATGTGCCCATATGCACCAGTTACTGGGGAATTTGTGTCCTGCTCTTCTGGCTGACTGTTCTGTGAACTGTTCTCTCTCATATGCTCATACGTAATATTTAACTGGCTTGAGCAAGACAAAGTGTTCTTACCCCAAGCCATCACTCTTCCCCCCCCCACCATACACACACACACATATGTGCACGCGAGAGAGCGAGAGAGCGCGCAAGCGAGCGTCAGTTGTTCATTGGAGGCACCACCTCATCAAGATTAGAATTTGGAAACTGCAAGAGCAGAGCACAACAGCCATGCATTCAGCTTCTGGGCCACACACCCTCAGACAAACATTTCATTTTGTGCTAAAAGACAGAAAGGCCCAGGGGAGCAGGCGGAGTAGATGTGAATAACAAAGTCCCAGGCATTTCTCTCCACTGTATCCCTTTGGGAAACGCACGCTGATTTCAATTTCGTGTGAGAACAGGTGCCTGCTTGGACGTTTCTCCCCCTAAGGAGTCACCTACCCGTTCTTCTTTGGCAAATAGGCTTCCATGTCGAAGAAGACATTTTGCCGCTCTTTGATCTGACTCTTTATTTGCTGTATGAGCTCCAGTTCTTCCAAGCTGCAATCGCGTTTACATCTATAATGCAGGGAACAGATAGTGAAGTGAAATCAAACTGCACAAATTTTACAATAGGTTTCAATACCAGGCTAAATCATACCTTAAAGCATATCACAACAGTAATACTACTAATGAAACAATAATGTGAATAATAAAACAACATCAACGCATACAAACACATCCTAAATATCAATGAATATTTAGTAGTGTTTAGTGTCACCCTCTACTTTTTCCTTCTTGTGCCAGTTTAAGAGAAGAATTGAGAGTGCTAAAGCTTCAAAGGCAGTTCATGCAGCCCCAAGATTCTTCTTAGAATCCAGAGCAGGCTGAGGGGCTCATATTTTAATGGGAAAGGTTAAAATTCCAGCCCTCCTGAATTCAGAGTTACATTGGCAACACAATGAAAGTGAGAAACAGCTCCCTAAGTGGGTGCTCTCCCTCACCATTCCCTCATCCCAAATAAATCTTTCTCCTTCCCATAAAAACCTCAGGCTGGTGTTTTGAGAGATTGAAAGAAGGCAATCGCCCAGAGCTGCGAGCATGGAAGCTCTTCCCCGCACCACTTGCTATGTGACCAGTCCTTAAGTGGAGATCAGGAATCAGCCCAGGACCTTCAGCTTGCTCTGTGAGTGGCCCCACTGTTAAGGCCTTTGATCTCTTCTGACCCTACTTTTTGAACAAAGAAAGCACTCCCCCAAGTCAAAGTAAGTTTTATGGCTGGGTCCCCTGAAATCAAATGCCGTTGGACACAAAACCTTTGGAAACTGTACTGTAGATCTTTTAATCCCCGCTTCTGCTTCTGTATAGAGCTGCTGCAGGTCATCTGAAAGCTGTTCAGTTCCTCTAGCTTTTGTTTGTAAATTTTGTGAGTTTCCTGCAAAGGAAAAAGAAAAGGATGTGTTAAAATTCACAAGTACACTGAGCCGCATATGTATTTGCAGTCTTGCCCAACCTAGTCACCCTCCAGATGTATTGACTACAGCTCCTATTATCCCCAACCAGCACAGGGATGATGGGTGTTGATAGTCCATTCTGGGGAACACAAATTATGGTGCAGACCAAGTAATTTGTTCCAGAGTCCATATTAAATCATATCTGGAATCCCAAATATGGAATTAAACCCAGAATATCTGCATTAAATCAGTGAAGTAAAGCAGCAGACCAGGAACTGATTGCGTATGTGCATCACTTGATTACCAGTCATATCAGTTATTTAACTATTTAATTTTATTCCTGCCCACCCCATGCTGCTTATTTTTAAATGTCAAACCATCACAAGTTAGGTTACACATTTAAAAAAATAAAGGAACATTCTATAACAAGCAACAATGTAATTGATAAAACAGCATCAAATTAAAAATACAGAGAACCTGCGATAAAATTTGGGCAACAACAAAATGGAGGGGGGAATTACACAAGTCTTAGGGTCCATCTGAAATATTTACACTGAACCTCCACAAAAGGACCCAAACAAACCTCATAGGAGAGCTTACCATCAGCTAGATTAAGACCACAGTTTTATAGTTAAATAAAAAGCATAAAAGAAAAACAAATACGGTCACAAAAATAGTAAACAATTAAAATCCCTGGGAAAAGTTTTAAAAAAATCCTCCTGTGCTTCAAGACAGGAAATCAGGAAAGCCAACCTGAGCGAGCGTGTCGTAATCAGAGTGTACCACCACCACCATCTCCCTCGCTTCCAGAAAATGGGAAGCCTTGGCTCTCAAGCGAGCAGGAGTCAATCCCGGAACCTCCGCATTAGATCTGTGCTCAGCAAGCGACAGATGGCCCACATGTATGACTGAACCCAGTGACGGACTCGATGTTTGACGAAATGAAGGTGCATTCGGTGATCACCGACTGAACTGAGTTTCACTGGAAATGTGGCCCTTCGCAACAGAGCGCTCAGCTGCGAGTCACCAGGCAGTCAGCAGGCCAGTAAATCAGCTACATCCACACGCAAGCAGCCCTACCGACTCTGCCCTTGGCCGCAGTTTGCAGGGTGCAGTTGTCTTTTGGCAAGGCGGGGCAGGCGGGCAAGCGAGGTCAGCGCCAACCCAGCCTGCTCTTCTGTGGGGGTGGACTCGGAGGGTGACTAGGGAGGAATGAACGTCCGCGTTTGGAAAACCATCCAATGGGACGCAAGCGCTGCGGCCTCCCTTCCAAAAAAAGGGAAAGCTATTACTTGCACGCTTAAGCAGCTTTTCCATTCGCACAGCCAGCACCTCTAACCCCATTCCAAAGTGCCCGCTGCTGCAATTCCGCTGCCATCTGTTTCTTCAAAGCAGCTGGTTCAATTGCGGCTCCAGTACAGCTTGTTCCATGGTTACATAGTACTCAAATAAATACATAGAAAAGAAAAACATCCCCCAGCCCTTCAGAATTTTTTAAAACTTCTATTCAGTGCTCATTCCAAGTAGTAACCGGCTTCTCACAGGCTGCCCTCATAGTAGCTGTGTTCCGGATGTCACAATAAACCATGGTTTATTGTAACAGCAACAGACTTAGGTGATCTTTGGGCTCAAATATTCTTCCCCTCTGCACAGCTGCAGAGGCATCTATAAACATTTGCTTCCATTTTAGATCAACCACAATTTGTTGCTATATCTAAACCTGACCAGCTGTAGCTCATTTAACTGTGGTTTGAAAACAAGCCAGCTTCAAACAACAGATTATGTACAGACTTATTTTAATAAATCAGAGTTGAAACTGAACCACAGTTTAGGGTTTGGACATTATAGTGAAATGCAAGCTCTTTTAATGCCAGATGAGAAGAAGGGAAGAGAGAATGGCACTTGCTCCTGGCACTGGAAACCACAGTTGATAGCAGCATCCAAATGCAAACATCATCTTGATCTGAACTCCTGGGGATACAGCAGCAACCGCCAGCTCCAGGTGTGCACAAGAGCAACATTGATGGCGTCCAGTTACATCAGCAATCTCATTGCATGTGCTATAAGGAAAGGGGGAAAGAGGGGAGGAGAACCACATACGCCATCTTGGGTTCATCCCAAGAGGAAGAAAAGGTGGCATATAATTGCAATGCAATAGCATTTTCCTCGCTACCACAGAACGTACTTGTGGCGCAGGTGGGCGCCTGGGAATCTTGCGTCCCAGACCAGTGCTTTGCTGCCTGTGCTGCTAAACCTCTGCCTCTCTCCTTGGATCCAAGCTGGTGGGGAGTTTCAGGAGCCATTTTCAACAGGGATGGGGCGAAAACGAAAATAGAGCAACAGCACGGTAGCCGAAGCTGCTACGGAACACCAAAAGGATCAAATCAGCTTGTTTGCTTTCAGATTAAAAAGATAAAAAAAGAATAATGGGTTCTTCTTGTTACCCAGTACAATTTTGCTACTTTGGAGAGAAGTAGCCTGCTTCTGGAGAAAAAGGCTCAGAGGCAGTCCTGCCATTTTGAAATATGAGCTAAGCATACCAGATGGACCTGTCTTGTTTGACCTCTCGCAGGCACCTTTTCGAGACAGCTTAACTGGCTCCTGCATTTCTGGATAACAGTGGGGAAGCCTCAAATTCCACCTGGAAGCAACAGGCGGAGAAGCACCCTCCAAATCATTTATGTCGATTTTAGCTTCCCCACTTTAAACCAGAGAGAAGAAAAATGTGTAACTCAAATTGATACCATTTGATCCTTAAAATAGCCACCGACCAAAAACTGTTTCAAACTTACAAACTCATTTTTTCAGCAATGAATCAAGAGGGGAGGGAAACTAAATCTGACCTCAGAAAAACAAGGCAGGGGGAAACCTTGACATTGCATAAGTCTGAACGTAACACTTTATTACTACTTGATCACCTTTCTCATCTCACTTGAGGTCCTTTGTTCTAAGTCAAAGTGAGTCATCCTGCTTTCTCACATTAAACACCTGTGAAAGATTGCAATTGCCCAGGTGGTGGCCAGAGGTGCTCATTCAAAACACTCCCCACTACACCCTCCCCACAAATTTGTACCAGGAAAGGGAAAAAAGGAAATTTCTTCTCCTACTTTAAATCCAGTTTCCTACATCCAAGGAGCTATGTGGGTAAGAACAGGGTGTGAGCTTTAATGAGCAAACTTTGCAAGTGGGGAATACAAACTCTAGAGAGCCTTTCTTCCAGACGGACACCATTGGGCAGCTATTCTGTCTTTCCTTCCTTAAAAGATTTTCTGCTGCAAAGAAAGAGAATGAAGAGGCAGAAGGAAAATACGGGAGGGTAAGGAGTGGAAGACAACATCCGGCCCCTCTTTGAATGAAGCTCAAAAAAAGGTCTCATCCGAAGGCACCCCAGGAAAGCTGCGTGCAGTCCCTGCTCAACACAGCAACTTCTCTCCGTCCTCCTCTTGAGGAAGCGGCTCCATCGCAATCTAATGCAGTGCATGTGGGCAGGCACTACAGTCATCCCTGGTTTTCCATTCTTCAAAGCCAAGATGTCCCAAACGGTCTCCCACAGCCCCGACATGTACACAGTCAGGGTAGAAACAGCAACACCTTTGTCCATGCCTCTCAGCACAGGTCCCCTCTTGGGAGGTTGAGGGGTTTTTTTTGGGGGGGGGGGTTCTTCCTGACTCAGTACTTTGTCTGACAAAGCAAGCAACACTCCCCAAAAGTTTAGTCCATGTTGCGTATTCCTGACCCGTTTCTGAAAATCCTTCCGGATTATCTTTCTTCTGCAACCCACTCCTTCCTCATCCCCTCACCCCAGATCTGAGCCCAGTCACTCCATCCAACCCTTCTCTCCATTTGCTTAATCAGTGCTTTCATTTGTTCTTTTACCCACCATTTCAAGGAAAGTTAAGTCCACTGTCCAGTGGGATTTGGTGCACTTGGCCTTAGAAGTGTATGTTCTTTTCCGAGTCACCCTTTGGAAGACCGCTCCCTTCCCCATCCATGCACATTTTCCTACTCCAGAAAGCTTGATGCAGCCTCCCCAAAGCCCAAGCCATGGAAATGAAACAGCAACCCAGAGAGCCAAGAGGAGCCGTCAAGGAGGGCAGGCGGTTTATAGAGAGAGAACCCCGGCGCCCCAAGATGCCCCACTGCTCCCCGGGAGCAGCTGCACCAACCGGGGGCCAAGGGAGGGCCTCCGGAGGGCTTGGCAGGGCCGCGGAGGCTGCTGGGCCGAACCCTGGTGCGGGGGGCACGCACGGGAGAAGCCTCAGGGGGCTTTTGGCCGAGAGGAGGGGGCTGCGACTGCGTCGCTCGCGACCGCTGCTTCGGGGGCCCCCTCAGCCCCCTGCCCCCTCCGTCCGCGCCCCACCCTCCGGCTTGGGATGAATCGAGCGCCATCACTGCACGCACGAGTGGGCCGCCCAGTGGGGCTCTCGGCTTGCGCCGGCCCGCTGCCCTCCAGCCAGGGACGATGGGAGCCGCAGTCCAAAACATCTGGAGGGCACCTTGTTGGGCAAGGGCGGCTCAGAGACACAGGCTCTCCGGCCCGTGCCGCCGCCTGGCGTGCAGCGAGCGCCAGGGAGGCGACGCGCCCAGCTGTTCCGCGCGGTCAAAACCTGCCACTCATCGCGGGGCGCGGAGCTGAGCAGATCGTCGCGGTTTGGCTTGCGCCAAGGGCAGCCTTTGTCCGGCCGGCCGGCAGGTGCCCGCGCACAGCCCGCTGGCCGGGGAGGGCAGCCCCCGGAAGCCGGCCGGCCTTCTGCAGCGGGCCCCCCTGAGCCCCTGCCCGAGAAGGGGGCTGCTTCGAAGCCGCGGGGATGGCCGAGGGCGGGTGACGGTGAAGCTTTCCGTGCCTCCGCTTCCTGCAGTGTCTTCCCGTTTGGGATTGCGCAGCCGGCGCATCTCCCGGCGGGTCCCCGCGCAGGCTGATGCATTAGTGCTAACAGTAACTGTGGGGGCTTTGAAAAGCATTCTGCATGCATATATATTGAGAGCGCGAACATTTTGCGGAGACCTGAAAACACTACACATAGAGATGCCTCTCTCTCTCTCTATATATATAATAATTATTATGCATACGCACCATTATCCCTTTCTCTCAAACGTGTCCCTACAACGACAGGACCTACCTGGAGTTGCCGGAATTCCTCCTCTAGTTCTTGCCATTCTTCCTTGCATTTCTGCAGAGGCAGCACCATGGTGCGAAAGGCCAGCACCACGGGGATCAACGCTTCCCTTCCTCCTCCTCCTCCTCCTCCTCCTCCTCGCAGCGATAGCAGCAAAAGCAAGGGGGGAAAAAAAGCAAGCAGCAACCACGCAGCGCGAGCCCCCTCAGTCGGTCCCAGGACCACGTGCGCATCTGACGTCACGCCAAACCCTCCCCTAGTTGGCTTTCTTTTGTTTTTTACTGTTATGATTAATATTAAAACTCATTTGAAATAGATGGATAATACCTAACTCATTGCGACGGGAAAGTTTGCTAGTGCACTCTGCAAGCAGCCAGTATTCTGCAAGCATCAATAAAAGTAACGCCATTCATTTAAGACCCACATTAATTAACTACTCCAGCCATTGGACTTCCCAGATAATGACCTTCCTTCCATGCTAATAAGAGGAACTTAAATATTAATTGACTAAGGAGCACGGCTGCGCATGCGCACATTTCCAAACCGGGCCTCCACCTCCTTCATCCCTATTGGGTGAAGAAAAGGGTCTGGTCTTTTTGACTCCGCCCCGAAACCCTCCTCCGCCCCCCCCCTTCCCGCTCTCACTGCCCTTTTACCTTTGGGTGCCTGTCCGTCGCCCTGCGAGACAAGTTGCTCTTTTGGAGCAGCCCCTGGTGGAAGCTTTTGGGAATGCGATGCCTCTTGCACTTTTGGTCGGGTCTTATTTATAAATGGTGGGTGTCTGTGTGCATATGTATGTTTCTGTTTATCTAAATGTATATTTGTAGGTATAAATCCTGATGGATCCCAAGTTGCATTATACTAACAAGGAGTGTGCAGAAGCTGGCATCGCTCTTAATTCAGTCTTTCCGTACCAGATGCCCTCCAGATCTTTTGGACCTCAATAAATAACGCACTACGTAAGGACCTGCAATGAAGGGCCAATTCAACATTCAAGGTCATAAAACAGGCAAATGATTGGTCAAGTGCAGGGTTTCTGATGCCACTGGGTTCCAGCTAAGGCAGGGAATGGACAAGGTAACAGGCAGGAGTCAAAGCTCAGCTAGGAGTCAGATTAAGTTGGAAGGAGCGCGAAGGCAGGAGATAAGGGCCAAAGCACTGCCCTGTACTCTTAGCATAAGCCAGGAGCTAAGCTTAGGGGTCACAGGCCAGATTTTGCTTTATAGCTCTGCCTTAAAAGCTGTCGCACGTCCTTATTTAGTGCCTGAGCCATTTGGAGCCTCAGTGCTTGGACTTGTGCTTCGAAGGCAGCTGGTTCACTCTGCCGAAGAGCAGGGCCAGCTCACGGTGTCTGATGGAAGTTGAGGTCCAAAAGATCTGGAGGGCTTTTTGTGGGGGGGGGGGGCAATTTTATCCCCATTTTGCAGGTAGAAATGCTGAAGCTGATTTGCAACTCAAAGAGAAATTGGATTTGATTCATGAGAACTCAGTCTGACACAGCCTGGGAGAATTAATTTATTAAGAACAAACCATTCTCGAACACGATAGGACACGTATTTGACAGTGTGCCTTCTCATAATGACTGATACTATATACTTTTGCTCTCTGTCCCGGGCTACACAAATTACAGTTTGGTTTAGCCTCTCTCAATATTTCATTAGTGGGTTTATTAGTAGCAGTTATGCAAGTCTATTTAAAAAGTGATGGTGATTTTATATAGTTTATATCAGCCACTTCCCAGAAATGGCTCAGGGATGCTGGGAGCTGTAGGACTTTTTCCGTCTAAACATGCTGGAACTCTGCCCTCAGTGTTTTTGGCTTATTATGGTTTTGCTCCTGTCCTCATCAAGTTTTATTTATCTGTGACTAGAGGCTTGAGTGCTATTTCTTGGCAGAAAGGAAAGGTAAAAATTGTTTTGTTTGTAATTTGCAAGTCTTTAAAATTGGTTTGTCATTTGCAAAATGCTTTATAGCTTACATCTTCCCACAACAACCGGAAATCAATTGAAAGTGCCCAACTCTGGCCAAATATACCTGGGGGTAGATCTACTCTACTTCTGAGGAGACCCTGCATCTCTCAGGTGTGTTGTCCAGCGTGAGATGAATGCATGCACATTCTTGTCTCATGAATGTGCGTATGCGTGGGATTGGTGTTTGGATTTTCAAATATCTCGGCCGTCGCTGCATTGCTCGTAATTTTTAGAGCACTCTCTTGTGCTGAACGTACAGCTTGTTTTGGCAGTCTTGGGCTGGGTTTCCTCACAGAGGCAGCCTGAGGCATTTTTTCTGCCCGAGGGAAGGCAGCAACTGCAGTCCCCTTCCCTCTTCAAGGAGTCTAGCCAAGATATTTTGGTACTGAAGACATTCATCCCACTATTGTTTTTCACCCTCTGGGACAATGCAGCAACCAACTAAATAAATAAAAATTGTTGGTGACAACCACAACAAGGCACCCAGGTGGCCTCACGGCAGTGCCTGTGAGCTAAAAGATCCAGGGAGATGAAGGAAGCTATTTGTTCCTGAAGCCACCCCCCAAAATGTGTCACATTTTGCGACCCAGAGTGTGTCCCCCCCCCCCCCCCCAGCGGACACGGGCCTCCGGGCTCGGGCATTTCTCTTCAGTGGCACAATGGGGCCCCCTGTTGACACTTGCGTCCGAGTTGCCTCGAAGGTCTGGAGATGAGCAGAACGCGGGGCCATTTCAAAACAGGCCTTCCTTCTTTGGACACTTCACAGTGAAAAAGGACAACAGCAAATAGTGACGTAGCATCAGATTTGCCTTCCAGAAGGAGCGTTGCTAAATGCCCCAGTTCTTTAATAACCTCACCTAAGCCAAATATCGGACCCGGCAGAGTCAGTGGCCGTTCCTACGGCTCTCGCTGTGTTCCCATGTTTTTCTTTCTTCGGCGGCCTTCAAGTGCAGGAAGGGTCTATTCCCCTTGAAGTGCTGAAGCGTGATTTAACGCGTCCATGAGTAGGGAGAGAAGCAGCATTCTGTTCTTATTCTTCAGGCCACAGAATATTTTGGGCTCCTGCTGCCAGGCTGAACTTGACCTCCTCGGGCAGTCAGCTGTGAACCTTCCTCACCTTTGCATTCCTTGAGCCAACCTAAACTAAGGAAAAGAGAGACCCTTTGGAGGCAGAAAAGACAACCAGGTTGCAAACTGCAAGCAAGCAGCAGTGGGGAAAAGGAAATGGAAAGAAATGGTGGCTTGGCTTGCGTCAAACTGTGCCTCATACGGAGGGAAGAGTCTCGACCTTCAGCTCACACCCCCATCGCACCCCATTCAACCCAACATCACTGCAAGTTTCTGTCCAACTTCCACTTGAAGAGTTGGCCTGCTCTTGCTCCATTCATTTTTCCTCAGAAAAGTGCCAGGAGTTGCAGCCGTGGCAGATGTCAGCAACTGGCACCATCAAAACTTCTACTCTTTCGTTAGTTTGTTTAAAAATAAAAAGCTGATTATTATTTGCAATCACCAGGTGGCGGCATTGGACCAGAACAGGTGGCCTCTGTAGCGATCTGGCTATCAACTTACCTGCCTATCAGTCCTGCATCTAATCCTCTCTAAACATTCTGTCCCTGAGAAACAAAACCCGAGGGAGAGACCAGAAGGAAGGCTACTGGTTCAGTCACTGGTCTTTGCAGTTCAAAGACCCAGTTAGCAGACCTGAGAAAGGCCCGGAGTCCTGTTTGCATCCCAAATGAATAAGACCACTGGCTACTCCGCCCTCCGAATTTCTTTGAGAATGCAGTTACAAAATGCCACCCGCACCAGGAGGACAGGGAGTGAGTGGGCTGTGGGTGGAAAAAATGACGTGTGAATAGTCACTGCCGTCTTACTGGACTTTAAAAAATATGAAGAACAAATCTCTTCAGCTTTTTGTCTGTCTGTCTGTTTCCTCTGAAACAGGGCCAGCCTTACTGTGAAGCAAAATTAAGCCATGGCTTCAGGCAGCAGGATAACAAAGAAGCATTGTTTTCAGTCTCTAAACATCTGCCTTTATGCAAGCAACACCAGAGAGAGAGAGATCCCGGAGTCATGCTGAGTTTCCCTCCAGTTCACCTGCAAAAGTGCACAAGACCAGCATAGTTCCGAAGAAGGAGCAGCCCCTCTGCCCCCCACCCCTACAAGGAGCAGATTTCAACCAAATTCAGCTTCCACTGGTCAAACACTCCCCAGCCCGTCTCTGACTTGCTCTGTTGCAATGGCTTGTCTGTGTTGCTATGGCTACCTTGGCCACAGGGAACGCTTGTGCAGCCGTCCTGTGCTCAAACACAACATCCCTTCTGCTGCCCTGGGACTGCTCGGCCGCTGCGGTGAACAGAGGTTGGTCGTCTTTGCCTGCACAACCCCGTTCGCCATTTAACCCTCTGTGATTATGTTCAAAAGCAGCCCTTGCTTTTGCAGGAACATTTCCTGAAAGGTCAGCCTCTGTTTTACAGGATCTCCCCTGGTGAGTCTACCTAGGTCATGATTAGACCATCCCATGATATCCTGCTTTGAACGTGTGTCTTCTGATTGCTCTTAACAACACTTCTACTCTGACAAACATAAAGAATCTGACTCCATTGTTTCTTACAGGATTGATTCTACAGATGTGCTTGACATAATTCGGAAGAAGGCTTTTGACACTGGATTTGTTCAATCATGGGCAAGTATTAGAAGAATACCGAGGTTGTGTGTGTTGCGTTGGGGGGGGGGGTGAGATGACCTTTCGGATAGGTAAAGAGGACAGAGGATGGAGGATTCAGTGGGAGGATCCCAGCCCTTAACCCAGCTTTCCCCAATCTGGTGTCCTCCAGACAGGTGTTGGACAACACCCATCATGGCCCCTGAGTGGCTGGCTGGCCTCCCAATCAAGGGCAAGCATGTTGTCTGTATGCAAAGGACCCAGGTCGATCCAAGTCATTTCCAGGCAGGGCTGGAGAAAATCCTTCCTGAAATGCTGGAACGCCCTTGCTACACAGCAGTGAAACACTACCGAGCTGGATGGACCTTGGGTCTGACTCAGTATAAAAGTTTTTGATATTTTTGTGCCTCCACCCGAAACGGAAACCAGTGCGAGCCAAGATGGTCAAATGCAAAGATCAAAGCAGGATGTATCCCAAACCTTAAAGCAGACAAAACATGAAAATCTGACTTCACAGAACTTTGCGTACAAAAGCAGCTGCATCCATAGCAGCAAGCTGGCAAGACTGTAGTGCTTAAAATATGAGCTCTGTATGTGCTTGAATCTGGTGAACACACAGAAAATTCACTCGGTGGTCTTCCAAGACGGCTGACAATTTTGAAGTTTGGGAACTGTTGTGCTAATGAACCTTGTCTAGACTTCCCATATCACCCACTGCAGATGCTCAGGTGAATTTTGGACAGTGGTCTTGTATTATCATGTAGTGATGCTGCTCCAGCGCACCTTCGATCAAAAGGAAGAAACACTGTTTGCACAGTGAACTATCATGGGCAAGCCCCCCCGTGCATAGTGCATTTGCACAGTGCGTGTGCCTTGTCGAAGTGGGTCCCAGTGTGTCAAATAGGGAAGGTGGTCTTGATCCAGTGTGAGCAGTGAGCAGGGGACCAAGAAATCTTGGGCTTTCTCCTAAAACTTCCTGGGGAAGACCTGTTCTAACAGGATCCTTGGGATTCCCTGCCTCTGTGCAAGAGGGACAGCTGCTGGGCAGAGGGTGCCTTGGGCAGCATCTCCTTGAAGATTCCCCCGGGAACATCGCTGCCCCCCCCCCCGCAGAATCTGCAGCGCAGGAGCCAGATTGTGTCCTCTGGGCTCCCCAGAAGATGACTACTGCCTGCAGAAATGGGTGCCATGTCCCACACACACGACCACATATTGGGTGGCTGCTTTTTTGTGCTCCCCAACCCCCATCTTAAAAGGTAGAAGCACCTGTCCCAAGCCTGACTTTCTGCACTAAAGAGCTTTGAGCTAAGAGAGGCCACGTGTTGGGGTGAGGGGCTGCTTTTGCCTTGGGCCGCACCCACAGTTGGCAGACCACCCCCAAGAGCGTCTCTGCAACGGAATTCAGTCCCCGGGCCGGGCTCTGCACCCCGCCTGGCCATCTGCACCCCGCCTGGCCATCTGCTTGGGGCAGAGGCAGCGGGAAACAGTCTGCAGGCCACTGTCCTGGGTGACGGATGCCTCACAATAACTGGCCCCCAGGATTGTGCGTGATGTCACTGTGACCTCGCGGGGAGCCTGGGCAGAGTGGACCAGGTCCTGCTCCGCTGAAGGATGTCTCAGGGAACCCATCTGCAAGGACACATGCTGGAGAAGCTGTGAAAAAGCACGGAACCCCACGAGAGTAACATCCATGAGAACTGATAAGGTAGTAGTTAGACTAATGTGTGTCAACACGGGTAGATTGCACTCTGCATACATCTCCAGGTTAGTTCACACAAAAGTCTGGGTCCCCCTGTCTCACAAAGACTCCGCGAGGCGCTCTAGCAGTCTAACCTCTTTATCCCCTCTTTTGCAGCTCGTGTTTCAAGCTTACATTACTTCTAATTTTATGCTTTGTTTTGATTGATATTTAATATATCTGACGATGAGTTCTTAGACCAACAACTCATCGATTGTAATAAAACACCATGCTTTCAAATGAATGAATGATTTTTTATTTATTTATTTAAAACATTTCGAATGAGCCCTCTTCCAGCAGAACCTGCTGTTTCTTCTGCTCTCACTGCCTGTTTCTGATTCCCCCCATTCCAGGTAACCAGAGCATGCCCATCGTCAAGTATCCGAGGATAGTCGACCCTCTTTGGCATGAATGGGACAGGAAGGCCCAGAAATGTGGCTTGAGGCATACAGTTTATGCTGTAAATGGGGATCGCTATACTGGAGAATGGCTGGACAACCTCAAACATGGTAAGAACGACGGACGGCAGCGGAAGGAGGGTGTCTGCAGGCCCTTGCTTGCACTGGATGCAAACCTCTGAGTTGCACAGAGCTCCTCTCAGGGGTAGGTGTGCCAGGCAAAAGCCAGGTAGACAAAATGTCACCTGTCCCAGGTCAGGCCATCACAGCCTTGTATTTAGCAACCCACTGGGCCACCTGAGCTGAGCGGGAGCTTGGTGCGAGTGAATGGGAGCTGCTCACAGAGGAGGGTCAGTCAGGCCTCCCTCCTCTGCCAGTCCACTTGGTAAAAGGCAAATGTTGCCACCAGCCTGTCGGTCACCATGGAGGGAAGGGCTGTTCCTCCACGCCCAGGCGGGGCAAGGCAGGCTGCGGTGCAGGCCGGTGGAAGGATGTTTCTCAGGCAAGCAGTTCTTGTGAGCTCACTTGCGAGGCTTGGCTATTGCACTGAGCATTCTGGGAAAGAAAGGAGAGCGAAGGTTCAAAGAAGATTAGCTGGATTATGTAAGAGGCGTCTCGATGGGTCAGGCACAAGGTTTGCCCGCCTCCTGCAGCAGCCAGGCAGTTCATCTGGGCACTCATAAGCGGGGGCCAGTAGCATGCCCATGTAATTTCAGATTCTGGATTTAGGGCACAATCCTATGCATGATTTGGTCGAGACAAAAGTCCTGCAACTTCCAGTGTGCCCAAACTAACCACCCAGGCTGTGGGAAGCTGGACCCTACAGGGCTCTTTCCTTTCTGAACATTTCTGTCTTCCCGCCGTCAGCCCAACGAGCCTTAAATGTTTGCAGCTTCTTTTGCCGCCATGAGAACAAAACTACATGTTAAGCCGGCCCTGGTTAAGTTTGTATCTAGCATGTGCAGTCCAGCATTTTAGATTCATTTAAAACGTTATTTAAATCCCAGCACAAGTGAATACAGTGGAGTTTGCCTTTGCTACTGCTACTCTCTGGGAGGCCATTCAGCAGCCCCTCTGGCCTACATAACCCTGGACTTTGGCCCTAAGATCGTGCCCAGGTCGTGCCACTACGGAATACCCAAGATGGAGTTCCCTGTGTTGGCCTTTTTGGAAAAAAGTCACTAAGGGGAATTGCCTTGATTTAGCCCAACAAAAATGTGGGGAGCAGAAACATGAGGATGCTTGGACCTTCTCTGGGATGTGTGTGAACAAGATGGCTGTGATGTCCCCAAGACTGCTCTGGGCAAATCTTGTGGTCAGTGAATATTCTACCCTTACTCCAATTCATGTTTTCTTGTGACTTACTATGGCCATTCCCTCTGCCCCACACAGTTTGAAAACCGCAGACTTAACATGACAAAGTCCCGATGTTCTTTTAAGCTGCAAAAGTCATATTTTTATTAAGAATCTGGTATTTTGCTCCACTGCCAGGCAAAGGCACACAGACATGGAAGAAAACTGGCGCAATCTACAGCGGTGACTGGAAATTCGGAAAAAGAGATGGATATGGCACATACAGTATTCCTGACCCCATCACAAAAGATTATAAGAAAGTGTATTCAGGCTGGTGGAGAAATGACAAAATGTGGGTAGGTCATGCTCTTGCTAAACATTGCCTTTAAAGCTACTTCCGTAAAAGTCAGCATGAGATCGGAAACTACAGTCTCAGAAATAGGGAAGCTACTACAGCACTTCACCCCTAAGCGGTAGTACTTCTTGGATATTGTTCTGCCCATGAAAACAGGTCCTGCTGAGTTTTCCTGGGCCAAGTGAGAGTTTCACAGAGGGCAGAGACTATTCCCTGACTCCTGCCACAGCCCCACCCGAGTGGGGGCCCTATTACCATCCCTTGGAGTCCTTTGGCCTCCTCCGCGTCTCCACGGCCTGCCCCTCGGACTTATCCTGGCAAATAAGCAGCAACAGGCACAACAGGAACAGCAGCACCACTCGCCTCGCCCCCCCCCCCCCGAGAAGGTGGAGCAGTGCAGAAGTGGCTCAGGGAAACAGGCAGAAGACCGTTGCGAGAAGGGGGGGTGACCAACCATGAGCAGGGGGCTGCTGCAGGCATCTTTCCCAGAGCCCCCTTCCTGCACATCTGGAGCCTGCACTGATTTCCCACCAACATCCACAGGGTCCCACTCTCCACCTGGAGGGAGAATCTGTGGCATTTTTGGGATCCTCTCCTTGACTGGCAAATGGGCACGGTTTGCTCTCCTGAAGATGGGGCAGCAGCCCTGGAGTGGCGTGTGTGAACGCGTTCCGGTTTTATGGGCCAGATCAGCAAGGAGTTGCTGGCTGACCTTCCTCGGTCTGTCTAAGCCTCGGAGGAAACACGAGGAAGGTTCTGGGGGTCGCTAAGAATGGTAGGGAGGACTTCGCATACACACATGCATGTATCAGACTGCCTCTTCAGCCACTGATGTCAATGACCGTCAGTATTGTCTAATTTTAGGGTTACGGAATTAAGTTTTACTCAGCTTCAAGTTATTACGAAGGAGAATGGCGTGCGGGGAAGCGAGATGGCTGGGGACGAATGTACTACGTGGACGGGTCCATCTATGAAGGCCAGTGGTCCGAGGACAAGCCGGGAGGGCAAGGGTTGCTCCGCCTGAGTAAGTACCAGCCCCTGTCTGTTGGCAGTGGCTCAGATGTCCCTCCCTCGACCCCCTTCTCCAGGGCTGGTCCCCTTCGCCCAGGGGGTGCCCCAAGCAGTGATTTTGATGCCTGGGGCAGGATTCAAGCAGCCTCTTCTGCAGCTGCCCAGTTCCCAAACTGGGACAAATTATTACACATCTCATTTGATAGAGTTAGGGGTACGTAACAGAAAACTTGCAGCCAGATTAGCCTCAAATGGAATCCTGATCACTCAGTATTTAGAGTTCCTGGCTCTTGTGCAGTTTTGCCTCCATTCTATTGTTAAACTGTCCCAAGACTTCAGTAATGGGACGGTCTACAAAAGTTTTAAATAAAATTAAAAAAATAAAATAAAAGGTAGAAATGCCCCTCCTGAGGCTGCTTGACTGGCAGTAAGAGCTTTAAACCGTAAGGTCCTGTTATTTCTGGCATTTAGCCCCTGCCCCCTTTGCCTCCCGCCCCCCCCCACCCCCACCCCCCCGGTAGCACAGTCCCATCACTCTCCCATCTTAATCTGCTGTGCAGGGTTGTTGCGAAGGTAAGATGTGGATGGAGCGATAAAAGAATCTCTCCTGCCACACTGTCCACTGTCCCTGAATGCGACTTTAATAACGATCATTATATTATTTGATCCCCTGCTGACCATTTTACAGTCTGCCCAAATTATGTCCATTATGACCCAACTCAAGTTACCCCGCTGTCTAGGAGCCAAGTCCATCCAACTTTCAGCATCCCCAGGTTGGTAGGATTCAGGTGCTACCTTTGCTCTAGAAACCCTCTTTTAATTTTTAAATGAAGCAGTGCTGAATACACATTTGCAGATAGCAGGGGAATGTGGACATGAAAACCAGGGGAAGTGTGTTTTAAACAATCACAGAAATTCACCTTGCACATGCCCAGAGGCACTGCTGCTGGAATGCATCAGCATTAAAATTCTGGGGGTCCCAGGCACCAAGTGACAGAGTATGTACCCAAATCATTCCTTGTGCATGGGATACTCCCGAACTGATTCAGAGCTGGTTGGAGTTTCCTTAAGCTAAAATTAGGTAATGAATATATGATGGTTTCGACCTCCCTGCAAGTTTCCTATGGCAAACCATGTGGATGGAATGTGCCCCTTGGTCATTCAAATCCCTTACAAAGCATTTAGTGATTTAGGGTAGAAGGATAGGTAAAGCTGCAAAGAGCACTGCATCCCACTTCCCTTGTAAGGGAGGGGAATTCTCAGTTTTGTGGTCCATTTACAGAATTGCCTCTCCAGATAAAGCTGCCAGTCTCTAATTTCTGCTCCAGGCAACATTTCTCTTCCACCTCCCTCTGCCTTGCCTCCTGGCATTTGAACACACAGCCAGGCGCTACACTTTGCTTTGATGGTTTGCATTTTATCTTCTTTTTTGTAAACTGCAGCGGATGCATTGCTGAAGGGCAGGATAAAAAGCTTTCAAAGAAATGGGAAAACAAGGTCCATTTAGCCATTGCCCTGGCCAGGGTGCCCTACGCAGGAGTGGAGGGGCAAAAGCAAGATTCCCCCTTGCAGCTGAAGCTGCCTCTGGGTCAGGAGCACTTGGAAATGGGCTTCCTTGATTTCACTGGGCAGCCCTCCCAGGGAAAGCGCTTAAGAGCATCTCCACAGCTTGACTCTGCTAGCCCTGGGGTGGGCCGCATGGGGTCCCCTTGACCCCACTTGACCCTGCCCTGCACAGCCAATGGCAGGACGTGGCAGTCGCAGTCCAGCAACACACCTCTGGAGGGTTGGAAGTGGCCCAGCCCGGCTAAACCTGTATCTATCTATCTATCTATCTATCTATCTATCTATCTATCTATTTGGAATTCTTGTATGCCGCCCCATTCACATAAGCCTCGAGACGGCTTCCAACGTGTACATAAATATCTGTACAATACATATTAAAACTGGAAACATCCTGGCATAATAATTTAAAACCAATAAATAAATTAACAATTATTAAAATATCATTTAAATAAAAAGGTCTTGGCCTGGCACCGAAAAACAAATAACGACAGTGCCAGGCGGACCTCTCTGGGGAGCGCATTCCATAAGTGGGGCGCCACCACCTGAACCAACACAGAGAAACATCAGAGCATCGCGGAGTCAGAGGCGTTGATGGGAAATGCTGCACTGCCTGATGAAAGTGCAAACCGGCGCTCTCTGTCGAGCGCTTGTCTCCGCTGCCTCTTCAGGTTTGTCCGGTCTGCTTCAAGCCAAAGTTTTGCTATGGTATTTCGCTTATTGCATCCTATGGCTCTACATTTTGTCTTGCCGATCAGATAGCGATTCAGCTCATGGGCAATATGGAAATGTCACAAACACATGCATATTTAAAAAATGTAAAAAAAGGTGTCTGTGTTGATTGCAGAAAACGAAAACCGCTACGAAGGTTGCTGGAAGGACGGGAAGAAGCATGGGCCGGGGAAGTTCATCTACCTGGATTCTGGGCAGCTCTACGAAGGCTTCTGGGTGGCAGATATCCCCAAATGTGGGACCATGATCGACTTTGGCCGCGACGAGGCACCTGCACCCACGAAGTATCCAATCCCAAAGGTAGGGTGCAGCCGGTCCGGGTCCTGCCCCTTAGCTGGCATGCATTGTGCTTTTTCTTTGTGCAAGGCCGGGCCGGAGGAGACAGCGGCCCGCCTCAGTGCTGGCTCGGTGGGACCCCGAGACCCTTGCCCACGGCTCCTGCCGAAAAGCTTCAGAGAGCGGAGGCCCAGAGGGGACGCTGCCCGGCACAGGGTGGGACCACTGCTTCAGCTTGCTCAGGATAGTTGGTACCGGCCCTCCCGAGGTGTAGGCCTACAATTCCCACCGTTCCCAGCCAGGATGAGGGGAGGGGCAGTCCGAGTTGTCTGAAGCGGGGCAGGTTCAGAAAGCCTGCCCAAAATTAACTGACTGCAGGAAAAGGCTGCTTCCTATCCTGGTTGCTGAATCACTTCCACGCACATATTACTAATGCCTGGAATTGTCTTTTATTATATTTATATCCTGTTTTTCTCCTGCGAGGAACCCAAGGTGGCTTACATAATCATTATCTACATTTTATCTATATCCTAACTTTCCCCGCTTACAAGGTATCATACATGATCCTGTACTCACAGTGACCCTATGAGGTAGGCTAGGCTGACAGTCCCTGCTCACCCACGTCATGGCCAAGTGGGGTCTAGAAGCCGGATCTCCAGTGCCCCAATCCAGCGTGCCTCCAAGACCACAAATGCGCTGCGCCCTTGGAGAGGCCCCCTTGGTCTGACAGGCCACTGCAACATTCGACTCGCGTCATGTTTTACTGCTGTTGCAGGCACTGTGGCGGATTTCAGTGTTTGTGTTTCTCTTTCCATAAGTTTCCTCAGCTGTAGAGACCTTGGCAAGTGGCTTTGGTCCGATTCCAGGCCCAAGGAACACTGGATTTGGTTATATTATGCCCCCTGCCCCCAGGTCTCCTTCCTTCAGTTATTTTTGGATGGCTCAAGTGTCCTGGTGCTTGCATATTTCTTGATAAGTTTGTAATCACATGCAGCCCAGGGCACAGTATGAATAATGAACAGACTTTAATTGGTTTCTGTTGCAGGAAGGTTGAGGGGGAGCATTCTGAACTTAATAGCGGAGGGATAATTGAAGAGAGCTGGGTGACTATAACTCCAAAATGTTTGCCTTACAAGGGCACGTTTACACAATCAGCATCCAGGCCTTGTTTTTTCACTAGACTATTTTCCTGAGCAATAGTGTCCTTTTGGCCCATAGGTGGGATATTCAGGGTGCTAAGTTTCCTTTGGGAGAAGAGTATGCTGGAAACACATAACTTTAGGAATATGCTTTCTACTTACTGGAATATATTTTTATTTACCATGTACCTTTCCTACCTGGATAGTTGCTGAAGTTAAGCAGGCACAAACTGGGATAATAAGTATTAAAGGCACTTACGCAGAATAGAGCCAGGACTGAGTCAGTTATCACACCGGTGCAGACATACGGACACAGAAGCGTTCTCATTCTTGAAACAAGATCAGTCCAGCATCTTGTGTTACGTACGAGGCACAACTTGGCAATTCTGTCTGCTTAGAACATGCATTCCCCTCTCCCCACAGTCCAAAGCCCTAACGGACTTTCCAAAACTCACCCAGGCAAGGTGGGTGTGTAAAGCAACCATTCCAGCCACTCTTGGTGCCAACGAGAGAGAGAGAGAGCACCATTTTTCCTTACCAGATGTCAGGTCTGTGCAAAGGAATTGCAATCTATTCCACCCACATGCCTTTTCTTGCTGCACTTGCTGATGGCCGCAGGAAGCTCAGCTATCCCTGTGCATGGCATTCTTCACGTTTTCTATCAGTTTTACTTGTCATGCGGGGTGGGGAGCAAATAAGCCTCTTTCATCCTCCCTCCCTCGTCTTCCCTCAAAGGAAGAGTTTGACCAAGACAGAACAGGTTCCTTTTTCCCAGCAAAGCAACGGAGAGAATGATGGGCCGAGTTCCCCATCAGGGCTGAAGCTGCTTGGTCAGCATGCATTGTCCTGAGAGCATCAGCTGAGAGCTGGTGATGCTGACACTCAAGGTTCTGCCCAAGTCCACACCTGCAAGGTTGCCACAGGTGAGATTTGCTGCAGAAATCTCTCCCTCTGCTTTGGTTTCTTCATCTTGAGAATAGGGGCAGAACTGAACCTCTTGTAAGAACTAATGGGAAGTACTCCAAATTCAGGAAACATGTTTGAAGAGCGGGACATACATTTTAAAATAAACTTTTGAAGAAAGCTGTATAAATGCAAAGTGTTGTACACTGCATTTCAGGATGAAAAAAATCAGCGATACGTTCAACAGTTGTCACACAATTAAAGAACTCTTTTTTTTTAAATTAAAGAACTCTTACAGGACAATTCTGTTTATGACTACTCAGAAGTAAGCCCCATTCACTCCCGTGGAAGCTCCAGTCTCTACTGGTTTGCTGCCTTTTTTCTTGTAGTTTCAGCCAGCTAATTGTTTGACCTGTTGATTAGATGTGTAAACACAGAACTCTGAAACATGTGAAAGAGTTCTCTTGTAACTAATTCATCTAAGTGCTGAGATATTGTACCTGTATTTTTATGAGCAATTTAGGTTAATAGATACCTTTTAACCACTAATGGGCCCTGTAATTACTGGACCATGTAGGAGCTGTCCATCGCTCTCTTTAGACCAGGAGAAATGCAAGAGCGGGCACTGCTCTCATTTCCTTGTGTTTCTTTTTCCAGATTGAGCTGATGGATCCAGAAGGTGTGTTAGAAGATGCGATCCAGAAGCTGGAGGATGTCAAAGAACTATACGTTCAGACTCAGAAAGAAAGATGACCGCTGGCAATCCCACCCTGTGCTGTTTCATTCCCTTCCTATTTTAGCCTGTGCAGCCAAACACCAGAACGGCCACCTCTATTCAATGGGGGGGGCTCTTTCTCAGTGCCACTCCCAAGTGTAGGTATCCGGCGCCTGCGGGAGGGTTTCCCCTCTGCTGGTGATCCCTTTGCTTTCATTTAGCACAGTCTTCCTCGGCCTGGCTCCCTCCGGAGGAAGGCCAGGCCAAAGCCTGGGGGAGGACGGCAGCTGTAGCTTGACGGCAGCAGTGTGGTAGGCCCTTGGCAGGGGTGGCCATGGCTCCACGGCAGAGGGCATGCTTCAGACAGAAGGCCTGACCCTCCGCTCCTGGCACCTGCAGTGCGCCCTGGTCAGTGGCTCGGGTGTACGACAGCTGCCCCCGTGCTTGAGCACTGGCTCGAAAACACCTCGGAGTCGCTCTTCTAGTCCCTCAAGATGCACTTCTGGGCGTTCAGCACTCGGATGTAGCACAGGGATGCTGAGCCTCGTGTCCAGGGGCCAAATCTGACCATCCAGCACCCAGGCGGTCCCTTGCACTTGATTGGTGATTTCAGAGCGTGACCCCCCCCCCCAGTGTCTCTCCCACGGCTCCGTTACTGGCAGTAAGAGTGCTTGGGGTGCAGTCCTGCGGTGAGGCACCAAAGTCCCCCGAACCCGGAGGCTTCTGGTCTGCCAGTGCCAAGCAGGAGAGGTGGAGTTTTTCTGGTGGTTCTTCCAACTAGCTGGAATGGTTTGGGGTGAGAGGGAGGAAGGCTGGAAGAGGATACAGGGCGGTGGATATTCCGGCCTCTGCAGCCCCCCCTTCTCCTCCTGAGCATGGCAGTGTAGCCGTTGTGGCTGGCCTTGGAGAACGGCGGTTCTCTGCGAGGAGGAGGAGTGGGGTCAGAACGGTCTCTGACCGGCATCTGGAACACTCTGTGGGCCTTCGCACACTGATTGAGACCAGAGCATTGTGCCCTCAAGCTAAAATATACTTCCATGTTGTCCCCAGCCCTGCCCACTGTAGGAATGCGGCCTCTCAGAGCATCTCTGAAGTGGAATTCAGCCCTTGAGCAGAAAGAGGTTCAGGAGCACTCCTGGATTTGTGCAGCTCATGGGAGACCATGCGCTAGAATCTGCCAGCCACTGCCTTCAAATATCAAATGAACTGGGGGTTGCCCTGCCAGAACAAACCCTTCGTATTATGGAAAGCTTTGATGAGCATCCATTTTACCGGTTAAGTGAAGCTTGCAGTTCTCAGTAGCAATGGAAGGGGGTGGGGTTTGTGGACGAGAGTTTTCATTTTTTAATGCTAGGGTGTAGCGTGTAGCAGAAGTGGGTGCATCTGAGCACACACTTAAGTGCTCTGTCCAGCCTCTTGCCCAATAAGCACAGTCAGTCCGTCCATGTCCGGCTTAAAGGGCAGGGCTTTGAGCCCCCCTCTTTTAATTAAGAAGCTAACATCCCCTTGACATTGTGTTTCTCATTCGTTTGCCCCAATTCTGCAGGATGCCTTCTTGTGCTTGAAAACGTTGCAATGCAAGGAAATGCTGCATCCTCGCATTTCCTGTCGATACAACTTCTTCCTGTCACAAGACAGATGGCTCCATGCTTCAGATCTCCTGACTCAACAGTATATATCAAGGCGCAGCTAGTTTAGATTGCTTTCCAATCCAGAAAATGCGTCCAATAAACTAGCACGTGCATCAGGCCACATCAAACCATCCTTCCAGCCTCAAGTGTGTTGGCTGGGAATGATGGAACTTGTAGTTCACAGCGTCCAGAGAGTGCCTGGTTGGGGAATGTCATTGTTCCTTCATTGCATATCGCGGCATACACAACCGAAGTCTCCCAAAATCTGCTCAGTTTAATGTGGAGCTTGGTAACTTTTGTGAACTTGGGCTTTTGGGCCACATCAAAAATAAGATGAAATAAGGAGTGTTTTTAAATTCGGAAAAGTTCTTGCATTGCAGTGGCAGGTGAGGCCCACAAGAAAGTGTGGGGAGGCCAAAGCACCAAAACAATCAGCATATTTTAGTTTGGAAGTTTTACATCTACTAAATAGGAAGAAAGGTGTTTCAAGCTTTAGAAAGCAAATAAAACACATGCCAAAGGTGGGAAATCACGGACCAATTGGCTGGCAGGCATGGCTGGGGTGGCCTGTGGGTCTGAGGTTTCACCCCCTGCTGCACAAAGGTCTTGCTGAGAAAGGGAAGGTGTGTGTGGAACAGCCATAGCAAGAAGTTGTCACTTGGCATCCTGTTCTGGATTTAAACCAAGGCAAGCCATGCATTTTGCACGGCTGCTGATGATATTGCAGATTGCAATGCAACTTTAACCAAGGTAGTTTCTATGGATGCTGCGATAGAGGCTTTTAGGACTTAGAGGCAAAAACCCAGCACGTGGACAGGAAGCCAAAATGTGGGCTCCGGATGCAAAGAGCTGCGAGAGCCACACCCTTGGTGTTACTGGGAATACTTCAAAGCACAATTCCTTCTCATGCCGGGGCACAAAACCTGCAGCTGTACTAGAGCGGCTTCAAAAGCAAATGGATTTTAAAACAAAATGGTCCTGGTATTAAGCAACTGGTATGGAATGTTTCTCGTGTGTAAAGGAATGAATCCGCGTTCGTTCTTTTGTTCGACTTCTCCCCGCTCGGCAACGTTTAGATCGAGAGAGAAAAGGGTGGCAGCGAGAGGGGGTGGGTTTGCTGACAAAACAGCAGGAGCTTGGTTCACACGTAATACCAGGCGATGGTTTGGCAGTTAACTTTGCACTAATGTATTCCCTCTGCTGCTACAGTGCCATTTACTCCTCCCTCTCTGGCTCAAGGCAGGCCGACTGCTCATCAGAACCCGAAAACTGCAGCTCATGGTAGCCCTGCAAACCAGGAGCCAAACCTAGAATCAATCCACGGTCAGCTGTTATGCCTGAATTAAACTTCTCCGATACCCTGTATAGTGACAGTTGAATGTAAGTAACAGTAAATGTCCTTTTGCTGATCAGCAAAAAGCTCACAGATTTGCAGCTAGTAAACACCACTGTCACCAGATACCCTTGCCAAAAAAGAAAGGAGAGAAAAAGACTGTATACAAGAGGCACACAGGGTAAACTGGAAAAATAATTTTAATTTTCTAGTTTCATTTTTAGTCCTCTTAGCAATTATTTTCAAACAAGAGTAGGTACAAATTCTTCAGCAAAATGTGATTAAAAACACCCACACCCCTGAAGCCAGACAAGAGCATATGTAACAGAACTATGTCTGGTTACCATTGGCAATTGTCTACAGCAGAAATAAGTGTGTGTGTGTGTGTGTGTGTTTAGAAAGTATCAACAAAATCCCATTGAACTTGCAAAAAACTCTTTGGCAAATTCATCCATTTATTAAAACTGGTACATAGGAAAAAAAACCCTCTCCCCTTTCTACATGCCCTTTGCAAAGGCTTACTATGAATATATTAACATTAAAATAGTTTTTAAAAAGTAGAATCCAATTTATATTTATGTGCCTAGATTTTTCAGCTATATTGCTTACCAAGTGCATGGCCTCTAGAACCCTAAGAGATGCCAGGTTTATATTCAATATATTAAAAATGTTCATGAAAAAGGCAACTCTTCAAAAACAGCAATAGTTCGGTACGCATCTCGTGATGAAGTAGATCTGTGGAAAGCTGATCCCATCTTCCCCGAGCCTGCCCCCCCCAGATGTGTTGCACTGCAACTCTCATGATCCCCAGCACAACATCTGGAAGGCACCAGGTGCTAGAATACAATGATGTTTAATTGCATTTCTGGAGAATTTGGGACTCTGGTCAAGTCTCCCAAGAACATTGCCTGATGTGCCTCGTGGTTCTCCCAGCCCCCTGCCCAAAAGCCGGATTTTAAAATCGCTTTCTTATTGCTAATGTAACTCTGTGCAAGCAACTGCCGTGAGGCCGGTTCATCTTTACCCAGGTGCCAGTGCAGTCTGGTAGTCCTAATCGTGCTCGTTGCAAGAACGGCAGGTTCAGACTTTGGTTAAGTGGCAGGTGGGAGCAGGCGTGCATGAGGTCCCACCCCCACAGGGAGATACCATTGCTGCGGGGGGGGGGGCGAGGGGCACCCATAGTGCACTTCGTCTGCATGCAGACGGTCCCAGCTTCATCCCAGCTGAGAACGGGGCCTCAACGGAGGGGGGTCGTGAAGTGTCAGGAGCTGGCCAGCACTGGACTTGGCGCACCCCACAAGCTGGGCTCCGCAGAAACCAGACTGATAGGACCTCCACCCCAATCAACGCCACTTTCTCGTAACTGGCCTCTTAAACATCACCGTCCTCAGAGCCATCTTGTGAGCTGCTAAATACCTGCAGCAAATCCCTGATCCACTGATCCTGACCAATCATGCCAGAGGTTCAGCTGTTCTTGTGAATCACAGACGTGTCAAGTGGCCCTCGTTATTTAAGGATTCTTTGCAATTTGCTTTAGCTTTGAATTTATGCTCTGAAGGGGTTGATAACCAGTTTTGTAAAGCAGCCATGATACATTTACTGTGGACAGGATATCCACTGCAACACAACTGTAAGAAGTATGTTACAACGAGTGTTTACAGTGGAATGTGCATTCCACATACCCTCATTGGAGGAGATTGTCTCAAAATCTTTGCAATATACTTCATATTGGTTAATGGGTTGCTGGCAGTGTAAAAGGGATGACGTTCAGCATCCGTTCTGGCAACTTGAAATTGGATTCTTGTGTTATTTCCCTCAAAGCCTTATTTAAGAAAGGGCTGAAGGGGCTTCCTAAATTCTGTTTGTTTGTTAGAGAAACCTCCAAATCTGGTCAGATTCACTACCATATAAGTTTGTGTGAGAGGCAGAGCTCTCTTTGCCACGGGTATTAACTAAGGGCTGTAGAATGCCATGCCTGGGGGCCAGATCCAGCACTTGTGTTCCCTAGATGGCATTGCTCAGTTTCCTGCCTTTTGTGCAGGCTTCCTACCATTCTAAATGGTTGCACTGCTTTTCCCAAGGCCGCACTATTTCTCTCCGTCCACCTCTCCCAACAGCCCTAAGAGCTCCTCTTAAGTCGGCCTGGGCTCCTGAGCTGATGGAGATTCAACGCGCCTACATGAAATAGTCCCCCCCATAGGTATATCTTAGGGCCAGTCACCCAACCTGGCACCCTCCAAATGGTTCGGCTTCAGCTCTCAACAGCCCAGGCTGCCATGGCTGATGGTAGGAATACTGGAACACGTCGTCCAGCCTACTGGGGGATCCACAGGCTGGGGAAGGCTTCTCCAGGGTTCTTTCCCAGGCCTACCTGAAGGCTTTTTGTGTCCAACACCTACGTGGAGCCCCCTCGCCTCTCCTCCCCGAGCTCCTAAACATTGCTAGCCATTTCAGCAGCTGCAATTTCAAGTATTTCCCCCACCCACTACAGTGGCACACCTCAGTAGCTCAGCAACAACCTACATCACTCGCTATCTGTTTCTCCATCACGTGTACTGACCTTTTCTGATTCTCAGATTTCCAATTTTCTCTGCTGTGATGACAAATAAAGATTATCTCCCCATCTCAGGAGGATTAAGCACTTTCTAATGTCACAGAGCTGTGAGGAGTCTAAGCAAGTGCACCCAGAAGGTGGTAAAAATGGGGAAAGCAAAGCTTTCCCATTCTGTAAAGGCAACAGTGATGTGGCTCAGAACAAAATTCTTTGATAAAACACACACACACACACACCCTGGAATAACTCTCTAATTCAAACACGTCCAGCATTCCTGCCTTCATTGGCCACTGCAAGGAACTTCACCCAAGAATGAACTCTGCATACAGCAGTGTTATGAGCATAGAATTGACTTTCCAAACCTAAAAGGACACAGCACACAACGCACTTTCGACCCCTGTCTTGCGCGTAAATACTTGAGCAAAAAAATGGGTTGAGTGCACCAAGAGCCACCGTGCAACTGCTCCCAGTGTGAGTGCCCTTAAGGATCTTGAAGGCAGCTTCCAAGCAAAAGCAAAAACGATCACAGAAGGAACTAGTCAAAAGAACCCGAGAACTGGGGTTAGATTCCAGCACTAACCTTGGATTCATATTTAAAGATCCATCTACCCATCCAATAAAAAAAAGTTTCTTTGCTAACCTAAAACAAGGATCACTTTGACTTGAAAGATAAAATTAGCTTTTCTCAAATAGAAATAGTTCTTAAATCCTGAACTCTGAAGCCCAGTGAATCCCCTAGAACTGCCTTTGTCCACCCAGATGTACTGACAACTCTTATTCCCAGCTGGCATGGCTGTAAGGGGGATGTTGTAGCCTAACATCTGGAGTAAGCTAAGCTGGGGAAGGCTCTAGGGCAGCAGCAACCAAGCTGGTGCTCTCCAGATGTTTTGAATGACAAGGCCTGTCAGCCCTTGCCAGTAGAACCGATAGCTGGGGGAGTTGGGAGACCAAAACATCTGGAAGGCCCTGGATTGCCTACACCTGCTCTAGGGGAACAACTGAAGCTACACCATTCCTGGAATTAAGTAGGCATGGACCTCATCGGACACACAGAACAAGACATCCCAGTATGAGCAGCACCGGAGACTAATAAATACATATTTAAATACTGATGTGGAGACAGACACAATTCTGCCACCTGGGGTGGTAGGCAGTGACTCTGCAAGGTTCACGTGGCGTGCGCTTCGCTAGGGTAGGGTCCAGATGTTCTCTTCATCCAGGCCTGCAACTTTCCCCTTCCGGACTCACACTTCCCCGCTGTTTCTGACCTCACCTTCCCCCCGTGGTGTCCGTCCTCCAGGAATAAACTACTCCCATCAGCACCCCGGACGGAAGCAAAACCCCTGCCCAGACCTTCCTCCAACTAGCAACCTTCCGATGTGTTGGGATGGCAACTCCGAGGCTTCCAGTCGGCCACTCCCGAGATTCCAGTGCTCACCGAACACCAAACCACTGGGGCAAAGTGCTCACTCTCTAAGCCCAGCCATAGCTGCCAGGGCAAAAGGGGAACAGCACGAGAAGCAAGGGGAGGCTCAGAGGGATTGCGTGAGACAGAACTGGGCCGGTGGCTCCTGCTACACCAGCGCTGGTGCGGCTGGACCTTGGGCCCCGACCCACTCTGCTGGAACATCCCCTACTCCCAACACCCGATTGCAGCTTTCTGTAACTCGCGTACTCCAGACATTTCGAGTTAGAGGCCTCACCTGCCCAAGCCAGCATGGCCAGAGATGGGAGCTGCAGTCTAAACCAACCTGGGGGCACCAAGTCAGGAAAGGCTGCTGTTGTAACAAACCTGACACACTCCTAAGTGGAACTGGCACACTCGCCTATTCTTCCTCCGTTTGTCTGCCTCCCGCCCCGCCCCTCTCCTTCTGTTTGTTTTATTCTAAGCCCCAGTCCAAGGATAGGCCTAACCTGGCTGTCATAAAATGCGAGGTACTTAGATGGCGCCAGACAAATGTACACAATCTTGCTACCTGCGGCCCTTTTCATGCAGAGCTGAGGGTATTTTCATGCACAAGGTGAAGACTCTGCCCTGGGATGTCTCCAGGCTTGATTCCTGGCAGCTCTAATTAAGGAGAGGGGGGGGACCACCCGGAGTGCTAGCACAAGCCCATTCCTACAGGCGACTGCAAATTTTAACTCCAGAGAGCTAAAGCCCACCCCTCAGGAGGTTCCTCACAGGATTGGTGCTTCTGCCCCTTTCTGCAAAGGTCCTTGGCTCCTGCCGCTGTCCCTGCACTCTGAGTTTCTGCTGAAGCGAACAAGAGCCTCTGTTCTATCTATCTACCGCCAAGAGCTGTTCACCACACCCTGAACGGCTGAGCCTGCTGTTGAAATATACAAAGCAATCTGCAAGGGCAATTTTAACCCCTACCATTCGCATGTTCTCCGGGGACCTGTAGTTGTAGCAGGGGAGGGCAATGGGTTTTTGCAGGACCTTCCAGAATCTAGACTTCCTGGAGACCTTACAGGGGAAGATGCAGCAGCTAAACTGGTTCTGAAGTGGATTAGATTGGCAATGTGGATTGTCAGAAATTAAAGAATACATTTTCCAGCACCACTTTATAAAAGCGTTTTAGCATTATCAAATGACTAGGTCACAGGGCCTGACGGTGAGGGTGTGGTTGGGAAGAATATTTGAAATGTACATTCCTTGACTATACTCTCACATTTACAACATCCCTGTTTACTACCCTGTCCTCAGGAGATACAAAGCAAGAATTTGCAAGGATGATTCAAAAAGCCCCACTCTGTATAGATCCCAGAAACGTAAAGGCAATTTGCTCAGATTCTTCTGTTTTGCAGCATCCAATTCCTCTTCAAGGAGTTATGGAGATTATTAAGGAGAAAAAGGAGGCTTTCGTCCTCTGGCCTGGAAAGAAGCTGCTCTGTTGACTTCTGAGATCTCAGCAGGTATTGCCCACATGCTTTAAAGCCTATATTTATGGTCATGAGGACTAGAAGCTTTGCTTTTCTTTAGAAACAACAACAACTAAAGCCAACATTCTTGAAAGCTCAACTCTGTGGTTAAGAGCTGTTCTGCATTTTGGTGATGCAGGGCCATGCACATTTCACATCTGTCCCTTGCTTCTGCCCGAAACTGGGGTTTTAAACAGCTGTGACTAGGACCAAACACACGTTGAATTCCTGATTGCTCTAAAGTACATTTACAGTCAGGGTAAGCAATGTGAATTTGACAAGCCAAGAATGCCCTCTAACCCATGCCAGTTATGAAGCACACACACAAAAGACTAAAAAATTATTACAGATTCCTACAAGCCTCTAACGTCTCCCCTCGTTTTTCTGCATCCAGCATGAGAGCCCAGAATTTCCTTTTGCCTGATGAATCCCTGCTTCAAGGAGAACCATCTGGGTGATGCAGACGAGGGGAGGAGATGTGCAGTGAGAAATACATGCTCCCGAGGCAGAATGGCTTCTCCCGCCTCCGTGCCTCAAAAGGTAACATGAGAATCATTCACTGTATTTTTTTTAAAAAAGCACTAAGGGGTTAAGATCCAGTACTACTAATCTCTTTTTCCACACCAAAACCACAGTCCAGCCAAATTCACGCCTGAGGAAGTCAGGAGAACAGAGCAGAAATATCCGCACGGGCTTTCAAAAACTCCATAGTTTAGTATTCAGGCAAAATGGCTGCCCGGGGGTGGGAGGGAGTCGCCTCTGTGGTCCAGCTGGTCTTGCAGCCGGGCAAACTCTGCGAGTTCGTTCAGTTCCTGGAACTGACGGTCCGTCTTGTGCGTCACCAGCGACCGGTAGAAGTGGACGGCGAACACGATGAAGACCAGCCCGAAGGGCACCATGATGGTGGTGGATGTGATGGCAGCCGCTTCGCCGGCCGTGACCGTGGAATTGCTGGCCTTCCCGTCGACCGGCTTCTTCTTCAGCGGGTGAAATTTCACCCAGCAGAGCAAGACCACCTCAGCCAGGAAGAGCAGCGTCCCGATGACGGTGGAGAAGGCCCAGGCCAGCTCTATGTGCCGGTGCATGCGCTCGTGGGGCGACTCCTTGACTGAGTTCAGGTTGTGCACGTTGCTAACCGCCTCGATGTTGGGGAGGATGCAGGTGCTGATCATGAGGGCGAAGAGGTGGACGGCCACCAGCACGGTTGTGCAGGCGCTGAAGGCGATCAGGAGCCCCGGCGGGTAGTTGTGCTCAGCGTCCAGCTGGACTTCCACCATGGCCACCTGGAAGGAGATGCAGAGGGAGGAAAGAGTTCTGCTTTTAGCTGCATGGATTGGTCATGGATTTATCACCTGGCAATACTGCCCAGGAGCCAAAGTCCTCCAAGAGTTGGAAGAGGTTAAAAAACCTAAAAAATGAGCCACGATATCTAATATAAACACTATTTACACACAAATACGGAAACAGGCAACGTGAGCAACAGTATCTATTCCTATTCATACGATTCTTACCGCATTGCATTTAGAGTCCACCCTTTTCTCTGTAAGGTGGCTTACAGAATCCTCTTCCTCTCTATTTTATCCTCACAACAACCCTGTGGACAGGCTAGGCTGTTTTGGCCTCCAATTCCCATTATCCTTCATTCCTGATATGTTGGCTACAGCAAACGGAACCCGGTTGCCCTCCCCCAATTTGGGGCACAACTCTATGCAAGTTCAGGCAGAAAAAGGCCTAGCGAGAAGTGTAGGCCTTTTTCTAAATTTGCCTTGAATTGTGCCTTTAGTGGGTTAGATTAGATGACCTCCAAGAGCACTTCAAACCCCAAGACTTCATGAATACCATCTGCCTATTACAACACCCTTCTGCAGCATCGTGCCCTCTAGCTGCTGCAGTTTTCAGAAGTCCTGACCACTGGCTGTGCTGGCTGGACCCGACGTGAGCTAACGTCCAAGACATCTAGGGAGCGCCAGTTCGGGGATGGGTGGTCCACTGGTTTCTTGAAGAGCCAAGTTAGAGAAGCAGCCAGATCGCACATTCCTTTTACAAAACAAAGCCAGCCTCAGTTGCCTCTCCAAACGCTATCCGTGGTCAAGCTTAAGCAGCAAACAGCCTTTCCTCTAGAGGAGAAAGACACCTGTGCCAACGAATTTAGCTCACTTCCTTGTGGGACAATACAGTATTATATGATCCCGCACGCTAGCTGAGAAAGAAGAAAACTTTTAAAAGAATACTCTCGGCGAAAGGCTCTTGGCCCAGCTCTGGACGAGCGCCAGTCTCACTTCGCTTGGCAAAAGGTTCTGCAGTGACGCACTGATCAAGAGCGGCGTGCCCGCTGGGAACCGAGAAAGCAGCTTCCCCCGAAAACAATGACTGGCTGCGGAAAGAAAGCGCGGATGGAATTGGAGCCTCCCGAAACTGGACTGGGCAGCCGTGCTGCTAAGGAAACGCATCCATTGTTTCCCCAGCGCAGCCGAAGCGCGTTGAAGCATTCGCATTTTGGAAGAATACAAGGTCTAATTTCCAAGGCTGGATGGCTGTGCTCCGAACACCAACAAAACTGCATTTTGGCATGCCAGAACGAAAACCTACCTGTGCACACCGGCGAGCACCAACTGCACAGACCACCACTTGATCAAAAACAGAGCCAGAGGCAGTAATTCAGGGCTCTCCAACTTTGCGGGGGGCGGGGTACGTTTGGGATTTTGAAAGAATGTTTAGGTAGGGACAGCAGCTCACAAAACACCATTTCCCAGAAGGCAAACTGCTGAGATGAAAAGAGAAGTAACCTGCCCAGGAACCAAAGCACAAGGCAGATGCTCTCAAACCAGTTGCCAAGAGAGGTTGTGTGCTCTTCCACACAAGAGGCATTCGAGAAGAAAACAGTCATCTATGCAGGGGGCTGGACTCAATGGCCTTCATGCACCTTCCAGCCCTACAATTCTGTGATTCTATGAAACAAAACACCACTCTTTAGGACCCAAGGAAGGGTGAAGGTGGAAGGCAGGCCTGCTTCCCAGTTAAAGTACTACTTAAAAAAACCCTCAGACCCAAAATAAAAACCAGGAGGGGCAAAGTGCCTGCTGGACACCAGCAAAGCATGGCTGGGTGCACTGGAGGTCCCAGTGTAACTGAAGGCATTTACTGATTATATTTGTTTCCAGCTTTTTCCTGCAACGACCCCAAGGTAGCTCATACAACCCTCCTTTCCACTGTAGCTTCAGAACAACCCTGTGAGGTAGGTTAGGCTGAGACGGACCAGCCCAAAGTTCCCCATTGAGCTGCACGGCAAGGTTGAATCTGGGTCTTTTAAGTCCCTGTCCAATTCTTCAACCATTACACTACACTGCCTACACTGCTGAATATAGATGAACTATACTTAATTAGTGAGGCTGACAGACTCTATTTTGCAAAGATCGTTTAGTGCTCTTATTCTTTTATAACAAGGAAAGAACAACAAAATGAATTCCCTTCCCTTCCCCAAGTTCTGTTTCCTTTATTTTCCATATTAAAGTGAGGTGAGCTTTTAGAATGGTGTTTCACCCGTTGCATTTTACATTCAAATTTTGTTCCTTTCAATCCTGATAAATCGCACAAAGAGTACTGTTCACACGGCAGAATGTCTAAACATGAGCTATAAATAAATATCACATGAAAAATTATGGGAGTTGTAGTCTAAGATGTCTTGATGATACCAAGTTGGAGATGGTCAGAGCAAGCAATCCAGTATTGGTTTGACTCTGGAAAGGGGGCTGAATTTTACGCATTTTAGTTCTGATGTTGCCATAAGCCCCTCTGAGTGCAATTTAACCACGGAAACACACCATCCAAATTAACGGCTCGTGATGCCGCTTGTGTGGGCTTGTGTGATCACAGGCGGGGGGAAAGGACCGGTGGTGGCTTCTATTCCTCCCACCCTTCCCCCATGTGCTAGTTGTGCTGTGGCACAATTCTGGAGGACAAGGGAAGTTGTGTGCTGCAGAGTCACTCAGCAAAGTGCCCACTGTGCAACCAGCACGCCGGGAGCTGGAAAAGCAGCCATTCTGGGGCAATTTTGCCAGCCCCACTGAAAAAAGGAGTTCTGTATAATTCTTAATTGCCCCTGGGTGACTCTGGGCCAGTCCAGGCCTCTCAGCCTCACCTACCTGGCAGATTATTGCTGTGCAGACAATAGGAAGAACAGAAGCTTGTAAGCTGCCTTGTTGGAAGGAGAAAGGCACAGTGTAAATGCAGTGTGACAACAACAACATGCACCCGGAGAAGGATCAAGCGAGGAAGATCCCTTTACTCCAGCTCCCCCTGCTACCGTAACGCCAGCAAAATGACTGAGGGCGCTTTTGGCCCTCTCAAGGACAGCGAAATCCTCCAGCGGCCTTAGACCTGAGCGAACCCTGCAACCTTATCCCCGTCAGGTTGCGGTGACCTGTTAGCTAGAGGAGTGATTGAGCAAGAAAGCAAAATACCAACTCTAGTCCAGCCTGGACTCACTTCTCACGACTTGTGCCTCGTGAAAAGCACCCCCGGCCCCGGAAACTGCCCTCGTGTGACACTGCGAGCGAGGGGCTCTTCGGCAGCTGCGGCCAGGAAGCGAAAAAGTCTGGCTTGCGAGCGGTTCCACCTGCTGCCTCGGGAGCAGCATCCGGAACACAAGTCCCCTGTCAATCTAGGGAAGCCAGCCTCCCGCAAAGCCCGCGGCCTGTTTTTAGCTGTTGAAGAACAGCTGACATTCATCCGGCGGCGGCAGAAGAGGCTGCGTTTCAGGACAGGATCCTCTTTTGTCTCGACACAGCAGCCTTGTAGTTTGACAGCAACAAAGCTTAAAAAGGGGGAAACAGAAATGCGACTCTATCCAAGTTTAGAGGGGGGAAAGCCCTTCAGCTGCTAGAATGTCCCAGCCAGCTATGCTGGGAGAACGCGCACAACATTTTTCTATCTAAATCCACAGAGGAGTGCACCCAAAAGAAAGAAACTACAATTCAAAGCCCTGAAGGAGTGTTTCAGGGCAAATCAAAGCTCACATCTATGTGTGAAGATGGCTTGCATGGGGGAGGGGGCGGGGGATGTGGGAACAGTCAAACTGCAGGGATGCCCAGCTGGGCTTCAAAACTGTTTCCAAGTCCATTTCCAATCCTAATTCAAAGGGTTAGTGTCGATCTTAAAAAATGTTTGGATGGGCTGCGGAATGCCACAGGTTGTAGGTCTTTCGCTGTCTAAACATGCATAGAATTTCATCCAGAATGACTTGAGACCAGCAGCCTTTCCAGACCAGATGGCATCCAAAAGTAACGGACTACAACTCCCATAGTCCTTCTAACTTATTATGGATTAAGGACACTGAAGACATTTACTGGGAGGGGCACCAGGTGGACAGCGCTTTCCATTGTCAGGTGAAGCCCCTTCTTCCAGGTTCTCTCTCTCTGTTAGTTATTTATTGCTGTTGTCTAGTATTGCATTTTATTCTTTCAGCTTTTCAACTTCAGCTTTTACTTGTGATTTAATTTGCAATTCCTCTTATAGCTTCAGTAATCCACCCAGACAATATTTCTTAACTGACAGATCAGATACAATTAATAAATATGCAAATGAAGTAATTAGCAGAGTACATGGTTTACAGCAGACCGAATTTGAATTCCTTCTCTGTTATCCATGCAACAGCCCCCTGGGATCGGAGCTTCTTGGTTTCAACGATAAAGACATGGAGACTAAACCAGCAAGAAGGAGACCGAGCTGCTGACCCAAGTGTCCATGAGAGGTGAGAGTTCAACTGTTTACATTTGTGGCCACTGAGGACACACTCTTCTAAATGTTTAATCTTATAAGTGTTTGAGCAAAGGGGGGGGGGGGAGAATCTGACAAGCACCAGTGTTCTCCACCCAGAATGAAGTCATACAACTCTCTGTTGGGGTTTGCAGAATGTTGTGGCCCCAGGTCAGCCCTGCTTCCTCAGTTCAAACGCCCCCCCCCCCTTCCTGCCACTTCTGCAACAGGAGGGTGAAAACAGCACTGCAAGGATTAGAAAAAATGCACAGGGAGCACTTTCAACCTGAAATCAAGATCTGATTCTTATAAAGAGCCATCTAAAATTAGGTCTGTCACCCAGTTAGAGAGATCTCAGGCTTGCTTTCCCCACCTGGTGCCCTCCAGATGGTGCATGCTAAGATGCCCATCATGCCTGACCATTCGGTATGTTGGCTTAGATCAAATGACTTCTTAGAATATTGTTATCCAAAAGAATCAAACGCTGGGAACAGATTTATTCCCCCCCCCCACCCCAAGGCCCTTCCCGACAAAATATTTAATTGACTGAATCGGGGATTGACCCACGTACGGCTGTGGCCATCCTGTTCAGGCCGCCTGCCAGATGCTTTGGGCTGCAACTCCCAATGTGGCTGGCTGGGAATGCTGGGAGTGGTAGGCCAAACTACAAAACACCTGGGAAGGTTGGTTTCTCATTTGTCCCTCCTTGGGTAACTTGCACAAGGAGTTAATCTCAATCCAGGCAGTGTAGCAGCTCGATGTGGCAAGCAGGACCTGTTTTTCTAAGAGGTTATACATCACAGGAATGAAGCCATGTTGTGATTTGTCCTCACAGCAGCAAGATCGCTGATCCCACTGCCCGATCATTTCCCTGAACCTTCCCAGACCCGATGCTCTCCAGAGGGTTTGCCCATCCACTCCTACCAGCCACAGCCGGCATGGCCAGTGGCCAGGAATCCCAGGGGTTGTGGCCCAAAGCATCTAACTCTGACTTCCCCTTGTCCACTCCCGTGTCGTACATGAATTGTCAACAGTGAAGAGTATGAACAGACAAAAGAGCAATTTAAAAACCATAACTCTTCAACAGCATCACTGAGCGCCTAAAAAATGGCAAGCTGTAGGCATGGAGGTATTGATCAGTGAAAGGCAAATTAAGCTGCTACCACAGACATTTTAACATATCATGAGTTATAAGCATCCCCATATTCATAGCTCTCTCGGGCAGTGAGCCAAGCTGTGTGTTCTGCATTCACGGGTGGCAGGCATCTCTGATGCACAGTAGCTTTGGGCAGAAGTCAGAATCCTTGCTAACTTGTCTACAACTCTCTTAGCCTTTCATGGCCCATCAACAAGAAGAAAAACGGACAGTACTAAACACACTGACTTAGAAGTAAGTCCCACTGAGTTCAATAGGGCAGTTCTCCCAGATAAGTAGCAGGAGGAATGCCACCATAGACTTTCAAATGACAAATGCTTCCCCGTTTAGAGAACTGGAGGAAAATTTGCCCTGCCACAGCTAATTAGTTGAGCGGTTCATACAAAGTCATTTTTAAGAGAGGCAAGACGCTTCAAGAATCTGAATGTAGGTACTACCAGACCATTTCCATCAGGGAAGGGAAACATTTATGGACATTTAGATGCTGTTGGACTTCATTCCTCTCCAATGAATATGCTAGCCAGGGTTGACAGAACTTGTAGTCCAACGACATCTGAAGGGCTACGTATCCTCCACCCTGGCTGGCACTTGTCAATAAAAATGCCTCCCCCCACTGTGAAATTTGGATAGCATGATTACCTTTATTTTTTGATGCAAACAACTATTGAGTAACTTGGAACCATGTCTGTCCCCTATTGCTATTTTCACGGGCTTTATGGAAGTTGTCTGATTCTTAAGAAAGGCATCTTGGAACTTTGTTGTGGAAAAGCTTCATGCAAATACTGTAACTAAAACAGCATAGACTCCATTGAGTAGGCAAACAATGCGACACAGTGACCATTCACAGAGCTTTCTAGCGCCCAGAAAGTACAACAGCCCACACAGGAAAACAGAAACGGTAAAGCGAGGACAGGGTGTGCGACAGTTAACCAGCAGTTCCCAGAGTTACGTGCCCGTTGGCACCACAGAGAAGCTCTGCCACATGGCTGGCAGAATAACAACAGTACAGGGACAGAGCAGACACACCGTCTGGGTAACCGCAAGTTCACTGTACTATACAATGCGACTCCAAGGTCAGGGGATTATCCACACAGAAAGCAAATCTCATGGTAATGAAGCTGCAAATCACTCCCTCGCCAGGACACGCACTTAGCATTTCTCCCCAGTGTTCCAAAGAACTTGTAGAAAGATGAAGCGTGACACATTCCACGTGTGCAAAGTCCCATGAAAGACGAAGGAAAGTGCACGGAGACAAAGGGACATGACTCAGTGGCACAGCACCGCTCCTTGTGCTGCACATGTCAGTTGTTCCCCACGCTGCTATCTTTTACATGACAGGAAATTTCTGTTTCCTGTCCCTGGCAGCATCTTTTCATTATTATATTTTTTATCTGCTCAATTACAAACATTCTCTGGCTGGGAGGCATGAAGAATCAAGAGTACATTAAGAATCCTAAAGCGCCTGTTTCACTCCTGCACCCCCATGCACGTCTCCCGGAGCTTTTATTTTGCTCACACAACTCTTTTGTGTAGGTTTACTTAGGAGTCAGTCAAAACGAAACTGGCACAGATGCATGAAGAACGCGTGTTCGGCACTTGTCAGGCCCCGTTATTCAAACTCGGCAGCACCCTTCCACCCTCCATGAAGCGCCACCCTGTGCCATCAATGAACTCGTGCACATTCACACATTCAGGAGGATGCAGGGCAACCGGGGAGGGCCAATTCACCAAGGAGCAAGCCTTTGCTGGCCTTGCACGATTTAAGGTGTAATCCTGCTTGGCAAGGGGCGGCATAGAAATGTTATAATAATAATAATAATAATAATAATAATAATAATAATAATAATAAGCAAAAAAGAGCCCTACAACTCCAGCACTGCTGGCTGGGAAATGTTGGGAGCTGCCTGTGCAAACGCGCATTCGACTGGGCCCTTAATGGGATAAATCGTGCAGCAGCCCTAGCATGAAATCCGGTTCCTGCACCACCTCCTCCTGATCTATATTCGATCCAACAACCCTGCGAGGTGGGCCGGCGCTCTAATCGCCATAAAAAAGACCGGGAAGTGGTGGCGGGGGGCGGAGAGAGTAGAGGCTTACTGGAGCCTTCCCCGGCCGAGTGGCACTACGCGTCCCACCATCCCCAGCCGCCAGGCAACTTGCTCCGGCGTCCGGGACGCGCCGGGGGCGGGCGGCGCGCGCGCGCGTGTGCGGGGAACGGGGGGGCGCCAAGCGGGGCGCCCGCGGGCGCTGCGGAGGGGCGGCGCGGAGGCGGCGCGGAGGGCGGCGGCGGGGGC